TCTGAACAGCTGTGAAAAACCTTTCAAAGTTGGGTCTTGTCTACATACCTCGGTCCAGGCCAGTCATGGTTATGTGAAAACCCCTAAGCCTGCTTTGATGCCTATACTGCCATGTTTGGTCTTGTCTTTTTTTGTTTTTACTTGTTTTGTTTTAGTTTTTTAAGACTTTTAACTTGTGGGTATGTGTGACTGTGTGATTGCCTGTGTGTATGTATACACCATGTGTATCTACTCTCCCAGACACGATTCATTGCCGGATCAAATTCCACATTCTCCCTTACTTGGTACCACTGCCTCAGATGTGACATGCCTCAATCTTAGGTCATTACATGGCATGCTCACCTGGGAGGGTCAGAGCAGGCGTGTTTCACCATGAGGCCCATCTCCTTCGTCCCATAAACACTGTGTGGTTTTATACACCTGTAATCATCCCACTGAGACGCTGCAGGCAGGAAGATCAGAAGTTTATGATAGGGCTGGAGAGATGGCTCTAGTAGGTAAGAGCACTGACTGCTCTTCCACAGGACCCAGGTTCAATTCCCAGCACCCACATGGCAACTTATAACTGTCTATTAACTTCAAGATCTGACACCCTCACATAGATATACATGCAGGCAAAAACACTAATGTACACGAAATAAAAATGGATAATTAAAAAAAGAGAAGTTTAAAATAGGTCATCCTCAGCGATAAAGCAAGTTCATGGCCAGCCTGAGCTACATGAAATTCTGTCTTAAATAACCAATCTTGGGTACTCCTGTGTATTTCTCATCAACATCAATCAGCTTAAAATTCTGTTTAAGATGACAATGTATCAGCCAGGCAGTGATATACCTTTAATCCCAGCATTCGGGAGGTAGAAGCAGGCAAATCTCTGTGAATTTGAAGCCAGCCTGGTCTACAGAGGAAGTTCCAGGACAGCCTGGGCAACACAGCAGAAAGACCCTATCTCAAAAAGAAAAAAAAAAAAAAAAAAAAAAAAAAAGGACATGTTGCAGAACATTAACTATTAAAGACATGTTACATTTGTTTAACTATGTAAGTTGTGTTGCTGTTTACCTTGCCTGCCTAAGGTACCTGATTGGTCTAATAGAAAGCTGAATGGCCAATAACGAGGGAGGAGAGGAACAGGTGGGGCTTGTGGGCAGAGAGAATGAGCAGGAGGAATCTAGGCTCTAGAAGAGGAAATGAAGAACAAGAGGTGACACCTGGGGCCAGCCTGCCAGGCAGCCACCAAGCAGACACAGACGAAGCAGTTAAAGTAGAGAGCGCACAATGCAAGGTAAAAGGCCCTGCGGCAAAATGTAGGCGAAGAGAGACAGGTTAGTGTGGTTTAAAAGAGCCAGTGGGACAAGCATATGCTAAGGTCAAGCATTCATAATTAATAATAAGTCTCCGTGTCCTGATCTGGGAGCTGGTTTGTGGCCCAAGAGAAAGCCTGTTACAATGACAATGTATCTTAAGTGGCTCTAGTGTCCACCAGCCCTGATGCTCTCACCCACACACACACTCTCTCACAGATAATTACGTTGGGATTCCGGTTGTGAGTATGCTGGAATTAGTTTAGCTTAGGGGAGCACTGGAATCATTTACGCACAGACCTTTCCGGGCACGGCTGGGGTATGCCTCTACACTTCTCATCTCCAGTGAAGCGGTGAACTTCTTTGTGAAGTCGTTTGTCCTTAGGCCCAATGCTGTACTGGAGTCTGGGAGTATTTAAAGTCTCCTCTAATCCCTCCATGCAGAGTGGACCCTGCTGGCTCTCGAGCTCACAGTCAATGACTCCAGATCACTTACATTTTCCAATTATTCTGAAGACTCAGCTCTGTCTTCTCCACAGTCCCCAGCTGGAAGGGAAAGCCTGAACAGTCAGGCAAGAAGCCCTTCACGGGAGGGCCACTGCTGATGGTGGCAGCTGTCGACGCACTGTCTACGAAGAGGGAGACATGGGGGCTCAGGACTCAGGGCTGGGGACCCAGAGGCCACCTGTTCTCTTAGTGGTTGTTGAGAAAGGGGTCTGTTAAGAGTACTGACGAGCCAGGCGGTGGTGGCGCACGCCTTTAATCCCAGCACTCGGGAGGCAGAGGCAAGCGGATCTCTGTGAGTTTGAGGCCAGCTTGTTCTACAGAGTGAGTTCCAGGACAACCAAAGCTACACAGAGGAACCCTGCCTCAAAAAAAAAAAAAAAAAAAAAAAAAAAAAAAAAGTACTGGTTTCTGCAGGCTGGGGTCTAGAGGTACATTGGGAATCTGACAGGAAGTGTTGTTATATGTCTCTTCTTGGGAAAGGGTGGCAGCTAGTGGCACCTCTGTCCCATGCATGCTGGGGTGTAATGCCATCAGAGGTCAGGAGGCCTAGAGCATTCTTCCTGACACCAGGAGGCGGACCCAACCCTAACAATACCTTGGTCTTGGCCTTTGGGCCTCCAGAACTATGAGCTAATGAGTTTCCGTCATGTAGTCAGTGAGTTTGTGGTTTTTGTGTTGGCCCAGCAAACTGACACACCCTAGTTGGAAAGAGGAAGCCTGTGTGGGATGGGAGGTGAGAAAGGCTTCCTGGAGGAGGAGGAGTTGCTATTGTTGGAGCCTTGGAGGATGGGAAGGAGTTTCTGAGGCAGAGAAGCCAAGGGAGAACACTGTAGACAGAGGATGTGTAAAAACTAACGTCTTTGAGAATCCCTATTCCACCCAAACAAAGGCTTTTGTTCTAAAACAATGGAAACATGACTTTTTTGTTTGTTTGTTTGTTTTTTGAGACGGGGTTTCTCTCTGTCCTGGAACTCGCTCCGTAGACCACACTGGCCTCAAACTCACAGAGATCCACCTGCCTCTGCCACCCCAGTGCTGGGATTAAAGGTGTGCGCTGCCACCACTACCACCGGGCCGGAAACATCACTCTTTCAGTGTGTACACATGCATGAATGTATATGTGTGTGAATGTATGTATGTATGTATGTGTGTGTGTGTGTGCAGGCATGCACGTATTTATGTGTATGTGTATGATCATGCATGCATGTATATGTGCACGAGGGGAGGGAGGGGCACAGTTCTCACCAGCAAGGGGCACTCACACAAACATTTCCTTGAAGGAACGGCCATGTGGGCACAGGAAGCAGTAGCCTGGCACTCATCAGGGTCTGAGATGGCTGCAAAGGTGGGCAGCTTTGTGCTGACCAGGGTCTCTCTCGTGCTCTCACAGGACACACATCACCCAAGAAGGATGGACATTCAGACATAAGGCGCTTGGTACAAGTCCTTTATTTTAATTACAATAGTGCCACACCCAAACTACAGTAGCACAAACCATAATAATACAAAAAATAGATTCCCCAGCTCCAAACCCCATGTCCTTGAACCCGCAGGGAAGCTCCCAGGCTTGAGAGGTGGGGTCTTTGTGAGGGCAGCCGTCCTTCTCACCTCTGCCTTCCTAAAATCTCTGGAGGGAGGGGGTTGCTGCTTTGCACCCATCCATCCTGCTCAGCCTGGGCCTTCCTGCTATGGCTGCCCTGCATCCCGAGCAATACCTGTATTGCTGAACCTCAGCTCAGGATCCTGCTTCCACAGACTGGTGTTGGACTCTTTCCAGGACCTGCCTCTCCACAGGGAGGCAAGAGACAGGGCAGAAGGGGCAGAGGGTGCAGGCCCAGAAGGCCCATCCACCTCTGTGTGGCAGGGCAATGGCCCCAGCACCCCAGCTCCTTCCTGCTTCCGGGGTAATCCTTCCCAGACCTTGAGCATGCTTACAGGGGCCAGGACCATTGGCAGGGGCCAGCTTGCTGCTTCCTGCCCAAGTGCTAAGGCTAACCGGGAACGAGCAGGGCCAAGACTACACATTTCTGAGCTTCCTGGCCAAGGAGGACTATGGTATGGGGCAGGGGAGTGGGTGGGTGCTGTGCAATGTGGGGGCACGGCCTGCCAGGTGGTGGCACTACTGGGCTCCCTGCTCACAGGTTACAGGGGCTTGCCTCCCCACAGCCATCACGAGAACCACAGTAGATGTAGTGTGAACCCATACATCTACTATTGGGTGATGCTGTTGGACGGATGACTTCTCTGTAGCCCAGATGAGGCTGGGAACCTTCCATCCTCAGCCTCCTCTGACTCACAGCTGCCTGCCCCCCCACTCCCTCCCGCCCCATGCGAGAAAACCCACCACCTATAAGAACTGGTTTATTTCAACTCAAATGCCATGGGAGGCTGGAAGCCTGAGAGAGGCCAACAGCTCCCAACACTGGCCATCTGGAGTGGCTGCCCTATAGGCAGGCTGGGATGGCAACCCTCCTGGGAGATGGCCTGTGGTCAGGACACTTGGGAACTCCACGGAGAAAACCTTGGGCTCCAGGCAGGGCTGCCTCCTTGGTGGAGCTCAGGGGCCACAGCCTCAGTTAAGGCACTAGAGAATGGGTCCTGGGAACCAGGCCAGGGCAACTCTGGGCTACTGAGCTTGGAGAGAGAACTGGACTATACTTTTCCTTTACCATGGTGCCAAGGGTCAGCGAGGCAGACCACTTCAAGATACCGGAATTGCTACAGAGAGGCCACAGGTCCCCAAGGCCAGAAGAGGTGGGACCAAAAGAAAGACATCTTTGGAGATCAGTGTGCATCTAATGTGGGGGAGGGGCTCGGTCCCAAGGGGCTCCTATGGTCTGGTCCAGACTGCTCAGGGGCCCCCATGGGAGGGCCCTACTCTGGCCTTGTGCGGCCACGGCTATCAACTTTGGGTATCAGCCCATCCTTGTTGGAGTTCCCAAGGGGATTCCAGAGACAGGGCAGGCGAGCTGAGAAGGTCATGCCCAGAAGCTAGGCTCCTCCCTCTGCCTGGTCCCTACATCTTCTGTCTGCATGGGTGACTACAGAAGCAATCACCCCAATAATGGACTGATGCAGTGAGTGTGGGAGCCTTGCTCAGCAGCCTGGGGTCCCCTGGGGTGAATCAGTGGGGTTTCCTTTGTCCACAGGTTACTTAGAAAAAGAGAACATAATAAATATACTAATCTTTCCTTTAAAAAAAAAAAGTGTTTTAAATGCATTTTTCCCTGAAGATTTCCAGTGTATTCCATAATGCTTAAAAAATAGTCTCCCCAAAAATATATCTTTAAAGCATTTGACACAGTGGTATTGTGGTATAACTAACTGGCATTGGATGTGGGCAAGGGACTGTGTCCCATTGCCGCTGTCAGTGTGAGGCCCACCAGCTGGACACACAAACGCCCTCTAGCATCACACATGGGTGTCTGGGATGCCAGGGCCTCACAGGGTCAGATCTTGGGTTCAAGCAATGAACCTCCATCATAGGCTTAGACAGGATGGATACATACCCTCCAGGGTGGGAAGGGGCCCTAGGCAGCTGAGGGGCTGGGCGGAGGCCTGGAGGCTGGAAGGAGCTGGCTGCAGACCCTTCCCGTCTTCCGTTCGTTCGTGTTTCCTGGGCTGCAGCCCTTACCAGACTTCGCATTTGTGCTGAGGGTTCATGGGGGAGCCAGCAGGGCAGTGAAAGTGTTCTGAGAATTCCTTGGAGTTAGAGACAGAGCCGATGACCCGGAAGCGGGAGGGGCTGTGTGGGTCAGTGATGAGGCCTTCGTGGGAGCTCTCAGGTGTGCGGACGGAGCACCAGACCTTGGGGCGGGGCACAAAGGGGGATCTGGGGTCACCGTGGCCCCTGAAGCCATTCCATTGTCCCGGCCAGGACAGCAGCGGAGTGAGCCTGAGATCCCAGGGAGCCAGGAGGAGCTCCGGGCGGGCGGATTCCTGCCCTTCCTTGCACCTCTGATTTAGGAAGGTGCCACTTGAGGGGAACCTGCCTTTGGCTCTGGAGCTCTTGTACTGCCCACAAAGGAACACGCCTGCCTCTGCTCCCAGGGAACTCACCTGTGCAAACCCCAGGAAGAAGAGCTGGTTGTTGGTGAGGCCCAGGGTGGGAAGTGTCTGCTCAGCCCCGTTCTTCTTCACCCAGTTCTGGTAAGCCTGCGAGGAGAGAGAGGCAGAGTTGAGACATGACACAGGTGAGGATGGGCCACTCACCTGTGCAGGTTCAGGGGCAGAGGTGGGTACCTGGGCGTCGGCTTCCCTCTATGTTCTCATTCAAAAGGGGAGGAGTTCAACCCTATAGCCTAAAACACACACACTCCGTTATGCTAGATGGCAACTTTTTGCTTCCCACTCCAGCCTCTCTCAGGTGTAGATCCAGCCAGGTACCCACGATGGATCTCAAACTCAGCGCAGGGCTGGGCCACGGTGGCACATGCCTTTAATCCCAGAACTTGGGAGAAAAGCTAGGAGTTCTCAGCCACGCCACTGGGACTCGAACCCAGAACCTTCAGTGTCCCTGGGTGTGAATTCAGTGTGAATGTGAAATGCCCCCCCATAGGCTCAAGTTTAGAACGCTTGGTTAACAGATGGTGGTACGGACTGGGACCGCTGAGGGACCTTTAGGAGGTGGTGTCTTACTGGAGAAAGTGGATCACTGTGGGGGCGGGCCTCCAGGCTTTACAGCTCAGGCACTTCCTGTTTACTTTCTAAATCCTAACTGCAGAGGCAATGTGGCTGGTTGCCTTCCCCCCTACGCCTGCCACCGAGCCTTCCTGCCTGACTATCCGCTACTGCAAACCAAAACAAGTTGGGTGTTTTGTCACAAAGAGAGAGTAACCGACACAGTCCCTCTCCCACGCTGGTCCCTCCTGTCTGATGTGGTAGTGGCTTCTGGGAAGAATGGCCAGGCTGTGCAGTGGGCCTGGTTTCTCCCTGGGGCTCAGGAAGGCAGGTTCCCAGCAGGAAGCCTCCTAACGGCTGAGCTCAGGGCTCTCAGTCAACACTCAGTCACTCCACTCCATTTATTGACTGAGCAAACCAAGGCTCATCCACTACTGCACTGATCCGCTACTGATGAGATCCTTGAACAGTCTCAGCCCCGGGGAAGCAGACATACCCTGTAGGCTGCCTTAAGTCCCCCGTTGTCCGCGATGTTCTCGCCAAGGGTGTGCCGCCCGTTCACGGGCTCCCCGTTCACACTGTAGTTGCTATACTGCTGTACCATGCACTCGGTCTGCTGCTTGAATGCCTCCACGGACGAGTTTTTCCACCAGGGTCGGAGGTTCCCGTCCTTGTCATACTCCCGGCCTGTGGAGGGGGTAGAGTGGTCACGCAGTGCGACCTGCCGCCCTCCAGGTCACATGGATGCGAGTGATCGACCTATGTGATGGAGGCTTGACCAGTCGTACCAGAGACCATCCAGACCACTGATGATCAGTTCAAGGGCACTGAGGGTTGGCTTTTAACACAAGCTAAGGACTCCTGACCCCAAGGAATAGATTCCTACCCAGGGCTGGCAGTGTCAGGATCACAGGCAGGCCCCAGCTTTCCCTTCTGGGCTATGAGGTCCCCAAGGTGGGAGGCAGTAAGTGGGAGTCTGGCTATTAGCTAATGGTGAGGGTTTGACTGTCATTTCTCTGACTATGGTCAGACCAGAGAAGTTTCTAGAATGGTAGAGTGTGGACTATTCCTTTAAACTATGTCACTGTGACTGGTTTAATAAAGAAGCTGATTGGCCAACAGGTGGACAGGTAGAGGTTCGGTGGGACTGGGAGACAAAAAGAGACGAGAAAGTTAAGTGAACTCTGAGGAGTTGACAGGAGATGCTAAGGAAGCAGGAGATGAACTTGCCGTACTGAGAACAGTTAGCAGCATGTGGCAGAGCCTAGATAGGAAATACGGACTGATGTAAGTTTTAAGAGCTAGTGGCAAACTGAGCTATCAGTCGAGAATTTATAATTAATAATAAGTCTCTGTGTGGCTGTTTGGGAACTGGCTGGCAGGACACAAGAAAAATCTGTCTCCAGTAGAGAACTGTACACTCCCTGCCAAACACTATTGCCAACCTGAGTAGGAGCCATGAGCAGGGGCTTCATAGTAACCACCTTCCCACCACTACACGGAATCCTCATGTTCCCAGCAGAGAGAAGAGGGGTGTGGACACGTGTCGGGACTGGCAGGAGCTAATACCGAAGGCAGCAGAGCCTGGCTTTGAACACCAATCCTTCCATACTAAGATCCTTAGAAGTGATGGGGGTGGGGGAAGGAGTGGGGGGAGGGGTGGGGCAGGAAGCTGGCTGGTTCTGCCTGAATGGGACCCCGAGGAACATGTACCTTGATCGTCGAAAGCATGAGTCAGCTCATGGCCCACCACAACGCCAATGCCACCAAAGTTCAAGGCGCTGGAGGAGGAACGCACAGGTGAGGGTGAAACCCGTTAGGTGACCTCTGATCCCAAGATGTGGTAGAGACCTGCAGGGCTTTCTGGGAATATGGCTCCCGGAGATAGCAGGAGGCTGGGCAGAGTTAGCCACAGCTGACTAATCTGGGGGCCATGCATGTGTAAGTTACCGCAGCAGATTTGGGGTTTTGTATTTGTTTTTTGGTTTTTCGAGACAGGGTTTCTCTGTGTAGCTTTGGAGCCCGTCCTGGCACTCACTCTGTAGACCAGGCTGGTCTCAAACTCACAGAGATCCGCCTGCCTCTGCCTTCCAAGTGCTAGGGTTAAAGGTGTGCGCCACCACCGCCCTGCCCCAGAGTTGGGTCTTAATACTCATGAATGAACTGAGGTTGGGCCAGGTCAGCCTGTCTGCCTAAGTGTCCCATAGTCCACACCCAGCCTGGGATTCAGACCCAGGATGGTGGCTTTCAAAGCCCGCCTGCACTAACATAGACATAATGTCTGCCTTCCAGCTGTGTTTTAAGACGCTGTCCAGAGATCCTGACTCTGACATGATCCTCTAAACCCCACTATGCAAGGACATTAGAATCAAGAGAGGCCAGAAGAGAAGGACTCAGGACCAGAGTTTCATTCACTATCTATCTCCCAATTCCTGGTATCCTGGGCCCTCTGGGCACCAATGGCTCAAGGGGACTGGCTGGCTATGGGAGCTTGACCAGACTGGCCTGGGGGTTGCTGAGGTTGGGATAAGAGCACCAGACAAGACCTACTTGGGTGAAGAGCGGGTGTAGAATGGGGCCTGCAGGATTCCAGCTGGAAACACAATCTCGTTCTTGGTGGGTGAGTAGTAAGCATTCACCATGGGCGGGGTCATACTCCACCTGCAAGCCACAAGCACACATGAGATCTCTGGCAAATCTGGTGGAAGGGAAGGCGGGCGTGGCTTAGAGACCATTGTCAAGGGTCTTAAAATGTGAGATCTGAGCCGGGCAGTGGTGGCACTCGCTATGATCCCAGTACTTGGGAGGCAGAGGCAGGTGATCTCTATGATTTTGATGCCAGCTGGCTGGAACTACCCAACAGAGACTCTGTCTCAAACAAACAAACAAACAAACAAAAAAGTGGACTCTAGGGGCTAGAGCTGCAGTTCAGAATGGTAGAGTGTTTGTCTAAGTTGTACAAAGTCCTGGGATCAATTCCCAACACTGCATAAACAGGGACGACAGTACATGCCTGTAATCCCACCATGCAAGAGCTGGAAGCAGAAGGACCAGGAAATCAAGGTCATCCTCTATTGCTATGTAAGGCTCAAAAGGCCTTAAGGGCTACCGAGGCTTCCCCAACAGGCTCTCTACCAAAAACCAGATCAACACAGCTGGGAATGGTGAACATTCCCAGCACTTTCCCAGCACTTAGGATGTGGAGGCTGGAGGATGCAATCAGGGATTCAGTCACCTTCAGCTGCATAGTGAGCTCAAGGCCAGCTTGAGTGACATGAAACCCTGCTTAAAAACAAAACAACTGGCCAGGCAGTGGTGGCACACGCCTTTAATCCCAGCATTTGGGAGGCAGAGGCAGGCTGATTTCTGTGAGTTCGAGGCCAGCCTGGTCTACAGAGTGAGTGCCATGCTAGGTTCCAAAGCTGCACAGAGAAACCCTGTCTTGGAAAACAAAACAAAAAAGGGACGTGGCTCACTGGTGAAGTGCTGCCTGTGTGAGCGTGGAGTCTGGAATTCAGGTCCCCAGCAGCCATGTAAATGCCAGGTGGCATACACATGGTGGCCGGCCTGGGAGGCAGAGCCAGGAGAGCCATGGGACAAATGGTTAGCTAGATTTAGTGATTCTGCTTCACACACCCTACACATGTTCTTGCAGAAGACCTGGGTTTGGTTCTCATCACTATACGGTGTCTTGGCTATCTGTGACTCCAGTTCCAGAGGATCTGACCTGTCTTCTGACCTTTCTAGGCACCAGGCATGCACATGGTACACACACAGACAGGCAAGCAGGAAAACACTCATATATATAATTAAACAAATCTGAAAAATGTATTGCATTTATGTATGCATATTCAGCCTGTATGTGGGCATGGAGGTCAGAGGTGCTGAGAAGTATATTTGGGTCCCTAGAAAAGTAGGATATGTTTTTGGTTTTCTTCTAAAACAGTGTTTCTTTTTGTAGCCCTGGCTGTCCTAGAACTCTCTGTAGACCAGTCTGGCCCTGAACTCAGAGATCCCCCTGCCTCTGCCTCCTGAGTGCTTGGATTAAAGTTATATACCACCATACTTTGTGATAGGAGGTATTACTTTTTCTTTCTTTTTTGGTTTTCTGAACAAGGTTTCTCTATATAACAGTCCTGTCTGTCCTGGAACTTGCTCTGTAGTCCAGGCTGGCCTCAAACTCAGAGATCTGCCTTCCTCTGACTCCTGAGTGCTGGGATTAAAGGCATGTGCCACCAATGCCAGTCAGGATATGTTCTTAACTGCTGAGACTTCTAATCTCTCCTACTCTCATTAGAGAGAGAGACAGGGTCTCACTATGTAGCCCTAGCTGGCCTGGAACTCTACCAGGCTAGCCTCAAACTCATAGAGACATGTTTGTCTCTGCCTCCTGAGTGTTTAAAGGGTATGCTACCATGACCTGAACATAAAATATTTTTGTGAAAAATATTAATTTGATAAACTTTTCATAAGACCAAGGGAATGCATGTTTTAAGCACTTTCTGGTGACCTGGTTTTATTTTTGTTTTACACTATGTTTTATTTACTCATGGCTGGACTAGAATGTGTTATGTAGCAGGGTTGACCTTATTCTCTTGTTCCTCTTTCCTCCATCACCTAAATTCTGAAATTTCAAGTGTGTACATCACCCCCTTTTTTTTTTTATTTTTTTGTACATTGGTGTTTTGCCTGCATGTATGTCTGTGTGAGGGTGTTGGACTTTCTAGAACTGGAATTACAGACAGTTGTGAGCTGCCATGTGGATGCTGGGAACTGAACCTGGGTCCTCTGGAAGAGCAGCCAGTGCTCTCAATTTTTGAGCCATCTCTGCAGCTCCCATCACCCTGTTTTTTATGAGGTGCCAAGGGTCAAGCATGCTAGGCCAGTACTCCATCACCTGAGCTACCCTGGAAGATCTGAGGATGGAGTATTACGTTTTTAAGCATATGGAAGAGTCCTAAGACCAAAAAGTTTGTAACTAACCATATAACGTGAACCAAATAGCAGGCATCTCAGCGTTTTTCTGGTGCAGAGGGAAAGCCAATGAAGAATGGCAAAAGAGAAAGGACATTTTGCACATGAGCCCAGTCACTCTGTTTCCTCCCAGCGAGCACCACAGAAGTTTTTGCTGGGTGTCTTTAAGCCATGTAAAGGTATTGAGAAATTTACCACATCACGTCTATATCCAAATAACCACCGATACATTCATGGGTGCATTACAAAAGTTAGCTGAAAGACTGTTAAATTTAAGGTCAGATGAACTAGATGAACTGGCATCCATGCTTCAAAGCCCATCTCATGCTTTAGAAAGTATCATTGAAGACATAGAGGAAACTAGAGTTCTGAATCTCTTGTCCACAAGGGGGCGCCAGAGGCAAAGGGGAGTTGTCATTACGAAGGTTAATTTTGCAGGATGCTTTTGGGATGGAGAAGGTAATTCAGGACTGACCTGAGGGTGCCTGGCTTTCCTAAATGTTCTGCTCATTCGTTTATTTTGTTTTGTGACCTGGGGATAAAACCCAGGCTTCATGCACACCAGACAAGTTGCTCTACCTATGAGTGTAATAGACATGTTTAGCTCAGGAGCCTGCATTTACCTGTGTGTGTATGGTGTGTGAGTGTGTGTGGTGTGGGGTGTGTGTGTAGGCCAGAGGTCACTGTTGAATGTCTTCCTCTGTTGCTGTCCACCTTAACATTTTTGAGACAAGGTCTCTCATGGTACCAGGAGCTTGCCAATTTGGCTAGACTTGTGGGTGGGACATGGCCAGGGGTCCTTTTTTCCCTCTGCCAGTACAGAGGGGAGGTGACAAATGCACAGAGCCCTCACACTTCTACAGCAAACACCTTTTTTTCTTTTAAACTAAATAAAATACCAACATACCCAAAGTTGTGTGTAGCATCTTACACCTGTTGTTTGGGCCCTGGGGATGCTGAGGCTGGAGTTCAAGCCAGCCTGGACAACATACTAAAAACCCAATCTCAAAACAGTAGAAGACAGACACCGGGTCTCACTCTGGAGTTTGCTTTTGCAGTACTGGGAATCAAACTCAGGTCCTTGCACTTGCCAGGCAAGCAGTCCACCAGTGAGCCACACCCAGGCCCATAAGGTTGCGTTTGTGAGAAAGTTCCCAGTTACAGCTGTTGGGGCCCATCCAGAACCTTCTGCAAGCTCCTATGGAGAAGCCACCACTTTTGTTCATGAGGTATTGAGAACCACCTGTGGGGCCATGACCCAGGAGCGAGCGAGCTTTTTCCTTTCTGAGGCCAAGAATGAGAAGCTGTGAACGCTGCTGAGTCAGCAGAGCTGGGACAGGAAGCCAGCTCCACCAGCTACAGAGCACCGCCCACTCCGCCAGCAGGTCCGGTGCTGGGGACGATGCTGACTTCGCCAGCCCCCAGCCAGGACCCACTTTGGCCTTCAGTCTCTGCATGTGCCAAGTGGGAGCTTCACTGTCTCCATTCCTCAGATGTTGTTTACAACAGTAAGTGATGAAGTCACATTCCACCCACCCCAGCTCACTCTGGGTCTCCCTGTGTGCAAGAAGCCCACACCTTGGGGAACTCACTGATCTCTGTTGGGGGCTTTCCTGAGCTGGTCAGCCGTGACCCTCCAGGAGAAGTTGAAAAAGCGCATGGCGTTCTCAAAGTAGAGATCAGGAACTGCCGTGTACTGGGAAAGCAAAGCAGAATCAAGAGATCAGAGCATGCCCAGGCTGGGGACCAAGGGAACCGAGGCCCCGCCCACGCAGCCAACTGATTGGTCTACAGGATGGTCTTGACCATCCTCTTCAAAACAAAAACAAAAACACACAAACAAATCACTAATAGCATCACCCAGAGATGCTGGAGAGCATAATGGTGTTGTGAGATGCCCCGCTGTAGCATTTTGGACTTTGGTAAGAATATGTCCAGCACTGACAGACTTATCTATCCCATACCTGTCCTAGCCAATATGGCAAACACTAGCTATGAGGCACTTTAAATGTGCTTATGTGGCTCTTACATTTTAATTTAATATGGCTGGGAGTATAGCTCAATTGGTAGATTGCTTGTCTAGAATGAACAAAGCTGGTGTGTGTGTGTGTGTGGGTAGCATTCTATCAGCAACATTCTTAAACTGGACATGGTGGTGCATGCCTGTGATCCCAGCACTTGAGAGGCAGAGGCAGGAGGATCAGAAGTTCAAGGTCAACCTTGGCTACACAGAGTTCTAGGTTAGCCTGGGCTACATAAGACCCTGGCTCAGAGTCAGCAAATAAAATTAATTAAATTAAATAGGTCCCCGTGAACAGCACAGACCTAAGGCCTGGAGCTAAACTATCTCAGAAGTGGGGAAGGGGCATACACCCTCATATACCTCTCAGCACCCAGCTGGATCCTCATACACACTCTCTCATTTTGTTTTTCAAGACAGGGTTTCTCTGTGGCTTTAGAGACTATCCTGAAACTTGATCTGTAGACCAGACTGGCCTTGAACTCACAAGAGATCTGCCTGCCTCTGCCTCCTGCCTGCCTCTACGTGCACCACCCTCCTACACTCTTAACAGCCAACTGCACCCTCAATGAGAAGCCTGGATTCTGTCCCAGGCAAATGCAGAGTTCTTGCTTAGATACATTCTAGATCTTCCTAGCTACTGGAAACAGCTGAGGTCACTGTCAGGGCAGCACCTGGCGGCCTCCAGGAGTCCGTGGCTCTGACATCCTGATACCTACCCGGGAGTATCTGCAGTGGTTCTCAAGGAATCGGGCTGCAGACAGAGTCCCACAGCCTCAGAAGTAATTTTAACAGATTCGGGTTTTAAATATAACCACGGAGTGAGGCTACTGTAATGTCAAAAGTGCTCCATCTAATAACTCTCAATCATGAGAACACGGAAGACCCAATCCTGTGGGTCAGAACCGCAGCCCGCTCAAGGCAGTTGACTGGCTGACAGCTCCAAGTGGCAGGGATGGCAATTACCCCTTGCTGCCTAAACTAAGCTGTAAGACACCTGTGGGGTGCATGCTTCCTCTTTCCGATAGCGTTTCAAGGTCAAAAGTCTAATCATTGTCTGAGGAAGGAAGAGAGGACCCAGGGGCAGGAGGATGTCTGGGAGCAGCAGCAGCGGGTGAGAGCTCCCTTTAGGTTCAGTTTCTCACTGTGCCTTTGAAGACCTGCTTTCTTCCTTCATTTCTTCAAAGTAATAATTTTAAAATTTTATGTGTCTGTATATTCACTTGTGTGTGCATGGGTGTGTGCACAGACTGGAGAAGCAGTCAGATCCCCTGGAGCTGGAGTCATAGGCAGTTTTGAGTTGCCCAGCATGGGTGCTGAGAAGCCAACCCAGGTCCTCTGCAAGGGCAGCAGTATGGACCCTTAACCACTGAGCCAGCTCTGCACACTTCTCTTACTCTTTTCATTTGTTTGTTTGAGATAGGGTCTACCCAATAGTCCAGGCTGACCTTGAACTTGCCAGGTAGCCAAAGATGGCCTTGAACCCCGGCTCCTCCTACTCCGGCTTTTGGAGAGCTAGGATTGGAGACCTGTGTTTATTCCCCCGTTCTGTTTTTCTGTTTTGTGGTGTTGGGGATGGAACCTATGGTCTCACACACTCTGAGTACATGCTCTTCCATTGAGCCATCCTCGCCTAGCCATTCTGCTAGTATTTCCCACTCACTCCCTGGAGCTGGCCATTTCTAGCAGGGGTACACAGCTTGTGTTCTGGTAACAACCACTGAGCAATGGCTGGTGGTGGCTCTGGTGAGACAGGAACCCCCACTGATCGAGGACACAAAGGAACAGGGAAAGCCATCCTCATGCCCATATCCTTAAACCCCACCCCAGTCACTTTGATACAGACAATAACCATGTTGTCCCCAGCATCTAAATCAGACCAACCCTGGCCTTTCCCCACACGGGCATAAGGGAGTTTGAGGGGCAGGTGGAAGCCACTTACGTCATTGAACACTTTGTCCAGCTCCTTCGGGTCCATGATGAAGTTGGGGTAGCCTATCATGTTGTAGATGGCATCCGCCTGGACAGAGGGGTGGAGTAAGAAAGATAGTGCCAAGTGATGCTGCCCAAGCCTGCCCCAGCTCTGTGGGGTTCAGGCTCAGGGTTTGTGCCAAGGAGAGCCAGGGCTAGCCTCCTGCCTCCTTTCCTGGAATGAGTCTGGTACATTCTGATGAAATGTCACTTCCCCCAAGACAGCCATTCTGGCTTGGATGTGTGCCCCCCGAAGTCCATGCACTGTAACTGAACCCCAAGGAGCAGTGCTAAGAGGCGAGGCGATTATATCACGCAGCCTTCCTTGGCCCCTGTGAAGGACAACCATGGCTGCAGGAATGAGCACGCAGACAGGGTAGGAGCTGGTTCTTATGGAAGGCTGGTCCAGCCCCTCTATGGCCTGCATGCTCCTTGCCCTTCCCCCTTCTGCTATGGAATGTCTCCTGGTATCACGCCATTGTGGGCTTCAGGATGTCCCGACAAACTCATGGGCACAATGGCATCCATGCACATATTCACTGGACAGACCTTTTCCCTCCCTCTCCCTCCTCCACTGAAGGCTCTGCTTCAGTACCAGTAGCCTGGAGCCCTCTGAACTCCCAGGCAGCCTCACCTTTTCCTTGGCTGATCTCCGGGTGTCTTCATCCATCCACTTCAGGGTACTCAGGCTTTCCTCAAATGCCTTCTTGATCTCCAAGATTATCTCACTGGCCTGAGGGGACAGATGCCACACCAGTAAGGGCTGTGCTATGACATCACCTAAACACAAGGATTCCCTGTGCAGAAGGGTGCTGTCAGCCAAAGGTTAACCTCTGGTTCCGGGCCAGGGAGGAACCAAGTCTCCCTGACAGTAGCCAGCAAGACAAGACAGGGCCTCCCACTGTTAGGACTGGTCAAGTAGATGAGGCAGGCTTTGGGGAAGTTGGGAAAGCTCCCGTGGCAGGACTTTGCAGAGCCTCTGACATGAGCCAGCGCACTGAGATTCCTTCTGAGAAGGAAGTCGCCTCTCCCACACTGACTGAAGCAAAGAGATCACTTTTAATGGAGTGAGCTTTGAAATGTAGAGAACTTGCTTCTGAGGGACAGTTTCAAAGAGGCTGCAATCACTCCGGAGATGAACAGCAGCTCTGGACAGTAACTGTGTCATGGCAAGACCTGGAGGCCAAAGGCAGATGGAAGGTTCCAGAGGATGGTGGCACTAGCCAGCAGCAGGGGTGGTGGCATCGAAGGCAGACAGCCCTTGACTCCGAGTGGAGTCTGTCTGTTAACCGCCGACTGAATACTATCTGTGCAGTCCACTCTATTAGCAACAAGGGTTGGGACCATGGCTCAGTCAGTAGAATGCTTGCGTAGCACACACCGGGTTCAAACCCCACACCCCTAAGCACAGGAAGCACTTACGATGTTCTTGCTGTCCTCAGCAAAGGTGGCTTTCACAAACATGGGGCCCAGGGCAAAGCCCAGGTTGTTTTCCGTGTCACTAACGCAGAACTTCCAGCGGGGGAGGCAGGTCTGGAAAACACACATGTGGATGGATGTCAGTGGTCAGCCTTCTCTCAGCCCCTTCATGTGGGAAGCGCTGCCACCAGGGGCCTGCATTTTCTTCTCGAGCTTCAGAGAGAGAGAGAGAGAGAGATGCCTTTTCTGATCCAGTGGGGGCTACTCTAGGCACTGAACCAGGAAGACTCAGGACTGGGGGTATTCCAGTTCTCAGGGTACAGCTCAGTGGTGGAGTGCTCGCTTGGCATGCGTGAAACTGGAGATTCTATCACCAGTACTGAAGGGAAAAAAATAAATAAATAAAAGACAGGTATGAAAGTCTGGAGTTGGTGACCCGAGATCTGAGGCTAGCCTGGGCTACAGAGTAAGGCCACCTCTCTCTCTTCTGCCTGGGGATGTAGCTCAGTTGGAGAGTGCAGCATACATGGAGCCCTAGGTTCATGTCCCAGCATCACATACAACTAGATGACTTTAATCCCAGCACTCAGGAGGCAGAGGCAGGTGGGTCTCCGTAAGTTTGAGGCCAACTAGGTCTATAGAATGAGTTCCAGGACAGGCTCCAACGCAATCCAGAGAAACCCTGTCTCAAAAGACTAAACAACAACAACAAAAAGCCAAAAAACAAAACTAGATATGGAGCAGGGTATGGAGGTGCACAGCTTTAATCCTAGCACTGAGGAGACAGAGGCAGACAAATCTGTATGTATCAGAGCTCAGTCTGGTCCACATAGTGTGTTCCAAGCCAGCCAGAGTTAGAGTGAGACCCAGTCTCAAACACACACACACACACACACACACACACACACACACACACACACACAATTGGGCATGGCGGTACACACCTGTAATCCTAGGGTTATAGATATAGAGGTAGAAGGATTAGGAGCTCAAGTTCACCCTTTTGGAGTACACTGTGAGTTCAAGGCTAGCCTGGGCTACATGAGACACTGTCTCAAAAAAAAAAAAAATTAAAAACAAAACCAAGATGACTTCTCCAGGGTCTTAGAGCAAGTGAAGGTAGGTGATGGGTGTGGCTGGTGTAGGAAATCTGTCACTTTCCAGCCAGCACCTTAGCCTCCTCTAGCCTCCCAGAGTATACAGGGAACTTGTACTTAAATGATGTGAACCCTTCCCAATCGGCCAGGACTCCACTCCGCTGCAGCCACATCAGAAGGGGCTTCTCTCACACAGCCTCAAGTCCACAGGACGCCTGGCCAATTCAAACTGGAAACCAGGAGTCAGCACACACACACACACACACACACACACACACACACACACACACACATACACACTACACACACACACTGCTCACACACACTGCTGCAGCTGCAGGGTCCTCCTCACCTTGGAGAGGGGCAGTAACAACACTTTACACTCTAGATTCACATCAGCCCTAGGCTGCACACAATACAATACCTGTGGCAGACAAATGGATAATCAAAATGTGGGGTTTCATACAGCAATGTGTGGACAATCAAAGTACACAGGTGTTTGTTTGTTTATTGAGACAGGGCTTCTCTGTGTAACAGCTCTGGCTGTCCTGGAGCTCACTCTGTAGGCCAGGCTGGCCTCGAACTCACAGAGATTTGCCTGCTTCTGCCTCACAAGTGCTGGGATTAAAGGCGTGCACCACCACCACCTGTCCAAAATGCAGGGTTTCCATACCCGATATGCCAGTTGGCACAGCAGGGAACAGACTGTCAGGGACTCAGCTGTATAGACGAGATCTACATGTTTACCCTGAGAACAAGAAGCTGGCAGAGTGCATGTGGGTGCCTCACCCAGGCACTTCCTGCTCAGGCTGTAAGGTCAAAAGCCCTGGGAGTATTTTCTACCTTGACTGGGGTGGTGAGTACCGAGTAATCTCATCAGTGGTATCATTTGTCAAAAGTCATTGAACCGGTTACTTCATGAAAATTTTGAGTGTGTATTCACACGTAGGTGCGGGCACGCTCACGCCACAGTGGGGGTGTGGACAGCAGGGTTGGGCATTGGTCTTGATCTTCCATTTTGAGGCAGGGTCTCTGTTGTCCTACCAGGCTAGCTGGCCACAAACATCTGCCGACTCACCTATCTCTGGCTACTATCTCTCCGTAGGAGTGCTGGGGTTACAGATGCATACAACAGTTGGCTTTTAACTCAGGTCCTCATGCTTGTGTGACAAGGGCTTTATCCCCTGAGACATCTCCCCATATGTCTCACTGTATGTAGATTTTATCTTACAGAAATTTTAGGGCAAGAAAGAAGGAAATTTGGTACACTCTGGTGCATGTAACCCTAGCACTTGAGAGGTGGAGGCAGGAAGAGGAGAAGTTCAAGGTCATTCCCAGCTATGTAGTAAGTTTAGAACCAGCCTGGGCTACATGAGACTCTGTCTCAAGAAAAGACAAAGAGGGCAGGTGAGATGGCTCAGTAGCTAGAAGGGCTTGCTGCTCAAGTCTGATGACCTGAGTTCAATTCTCGGGACCCATGGTAGAAGAAGAGAACCAATTCCCACAAATTGTCCTCTGACCTACACACACACACACACACACACCACTATATGCACCCCCCCCACACACATCATGTGCACAATAATAAATAAAAGAAAACTTAGAAAAGAAAATAGTGTCTCCCACTCCCAGGCTTGTGAGGATCATAGCAGCCATTAAGAGTGAAGGGGCTGAATGAAGAGTCGAGAGTCTGCCTCTGCTCTCAGTTTAGTTGCTACGATACCTCTTTGCTCTTTGTCTTGGCATCCTTACCTCCTTCAAGATGCTCCTGCCGACTCCTAAGGGCTCAGGTTCCCTCCTGTGTTCCCATGGTCAGCAGCTGCCACCCCGACCCCCACCCCGCTTTAGTGACTCTTCCTGGTCTCCCAGGGACCCCGTCACACACACGGGTACGCACACTAGCACACTCACCTTCTTAGTTCCATACATGACCTCCATGAACTTCTCATCGGCGTCCTGAAAGCGCTGATCCAGAAAAGAGCTCGTTTTCCGAACCAGGTTCCACATCATGTAGTTGTTGAGCAGGCTGTGGTGACAGGACCGGGGAGAACTCAGAGATCTCTGGGGAGCGTCCAAACTCAGTTTCTGACCTAGGCCCTTCTCCACCCTGCCCATACAGATGCTTACCATCCTCTAAGCACAAGGAACATAAGCTCTTCAAGGTAAAGTCTAGCTCTTCCAACCCCAGAAAAGCCCCGAGGTCTAATGCAATCATTTGTATGCCACTGGTACTCAGTAAATGCTTGATTACTTCATCCCAGCTAGAGGGAGCCAGACCCAAGGTTTCATGATTGGCAGCTCCCTCTGACCCATCTCCAGGGTACAGGAAACCTGCCACACTTTTAAGGAAGTCACCTTAGCACAGATGTCTGTTTAACCTAGACACCAGACAAATATATGTAGCCAAACAAATACATGTATGTGCAGCCAGGAATACATTTGCAGAGAATTGGGATGTTGTGAGGGAAGATGACAAAGGCTATAAGAAAAGTATCTGGTCCTGATGAGGGAGGAATACATCTATCAGAAAATCTCTCTTTCTCCATGTTCAAACATAAACACAGAGACACACATCCTGGGATCTCCTCCTTTTCCCTATACCTTCTAACATTTGTCATTAAAATCTAAAAAGTGTCACTGAGTATGAACTGAAATTAGCAGCTAGCATTCCTGGGTCTCAGGACTTGCCAGCACTACCTTCCCTTCGTTCTCCTACCTCTCCACAACCTGACTGGATAGGTGGCAGAGGGACCCCAGGGAGGGTGAGACTTGCCCCAAAGTTAACAAGGCTATGAGGGGAGGCTGGGATTCGAACCCATGTTCACAACCAGGAGCCTCGCACAGAAGCCCATCCAAGGCCTCTTTTCTGAGTCCCCATGTCTCCTGCCCCCATCATGGACAAGAGCAGGGCTGCCAGCCAGGGAGCTGTCCAGACCACCTTGTCCCTTTGGCACCTTTACCATTTATCGGTGTTGTTGATGAGGGTGGAGACTTGTCCCAGGTATTCTTTGTCATAGACCACAATGGGCTCGGACTCATTGATCTCCACCGGGTAAAAGATGGTGTTGAGAAAGGGCAACCAGTTGATGGCGGGGGCCAAGGTCTGCAAGGGAAGAGGTTGGTGTGAGGGTGGCCAGGCCACGAACGACCCCTCCGCCCAGGTCTCCAGGCCATTCCTCAGAAGAAGGCATTATCAAGTTCTGACAAAGGCTGTCTGCCAGGGCACAGGGCAAAGCTCGGGCTGGCTGGCCAGTTTCCATCTGAAGCAGTCTAAGGGGCCAGGTGACCTCATCTGAGGGGCTGGCAACGTGACTTCCTGTTTACGAGTGCTTGCTGTTGCTCTTGTCTGCAAAAACCAAACCCAAGTTCGGTGCCCAGCACCCATGTCAGGAGGCTCACGACCACCTGTAACTCCAGTCCCAGAGGAGCCAGCACCTTCCTCTGGTATCTGCAGACACCCACACACGAATGCACATACCCAGCAATATACATACATATAAATAAAAATAGTAAAAATTAAAAAAAAAAAAACAGACCTCACTTGAAAGTTGGTACAGCTAAAGCCAGCACTGAGGAGGCAGATGTAGACAGACTGCTGTACGTCTTAGGCCAGCCTGGTCTACATAGCAAGTTCAAGACCAACCAGGGCTACATGGTGAGACCGTCTCAAAATAATTAAATAGTTAAGAAAAAAAAAAAAAAAACAGGGATAGCTGGGCGGTGGTGGCGCATGTCTTTAATCCCAGCATTCAGGAGACTGAGGCAGGCAGATCTCTGTGAGTTCCAGGCCAGCCTGGTCTACAGAGCAAGTTCTAGGACAGCCAGGGCTACACAAAGAAACCCTGTCTTAAAAAACAAAAGAAAAGGGGAGATTTGATAATTTTGCCTTCCCCTTGCATTCTTATGAGGACCAGCCAGGGCCATGTGGAATAATACGTATAAATCTTTACAATGCACATGCCATGTGTGTGGGACTTGATGGATGATGGCAGCGACTTCTCTCTCTTCCCTAATTTTGTTACAATTCCACTTCAAAAAATAACAAGAACCTCATATGGCCTGCTGGGATTAAAGGCATGCATACTAGGTGTGGCTATTCCCATTTTAAAACTTAGATTTATGTATTTGTGTATGCATGTACAACTCAGTATGCACGTGGAGTTCAGAGGACAACTTGAGGGAGTCGGCTCTCTCCTTCCACTACATGGGATCATGGATGGAGCTCAGGTTGTCAGCATGGCACAGACACCCTTTTGCTAAGCCATCTTACCAGCCCTGTATTATCACCTCAATTTTTCTCCCTAACAAAGTATCACCATACAGACCAGGCTGGCCTTGAACTTGCAGTGATTGCCTCTGCCTCCTCCTGTTGGCTCTGCATCATGCTATGCTCAACTTAAGCATGACTGGGCCCAGCTGAGTGGTATTAGCCATTCACTGTTTTGCCACATCACCCCATCCCCCACCCAGCCTCAGGTTCCCAGCATCTTGTCAGGCTGAAGAATTCTACTCCCAACTTCCCAAGTCCCCAGAAGGTGGAACCATCCACTCTATTTTCCATCTCTATCAAATCTACACCAAGAACGTCAGCGAAGACACAAAGACAGTCTCTGTTCTTGTGTGTGTGTGTGCTTCTTTCTGATGCTTGAACCCAGGGCTTTGCATGTGCAATGCCAATTCTCTTATACTGAGTCCCCACCCCCACCCCGTACCCGTCTCCCAGGCCCTGGAGTCTGCCCTTTTGTAGCTGGCTGATTTCACTTAGCACAGCGTCCCTGAGCCGAATTGCACAACTTTGGAATGGTCAGCCCCAGCCCCGTGTCACCCACATGTCCTGTTATTTTTAGTGTGCCACTTTTCAGAATGTAAGTCTTTCTGGGCTGAGGAGACTGTGGTTTAGCATAAATGAGCATCTGCAGCAATGCATCACAGGCATCTGGCTCTTAGCAAGCCAGCCATCAATGGCAGTCATGCCGATCATTGTTTGAGTTCTGCCCTGAGCAGGCCTAGCCCTGAGGAATTTCAAATTCTGTTCTCATTTTCCTTGAAGAAATAGAAAATGTCAGGCAAGAAAGGCATCCAGTGAGCGACACCTACGTTTTAAAAAGCCCCTCACATGGGAAAAGCCAGGTAATTCTAGGAATTCTATCTGTAACATCAGAGCAGCACACAGCCTGTCCTCGGGGAGAGTGAGGGTATGACCCTCTTCTTAAAAGGCATGGGGAAAGTTGACTTTCCTGAGGTCTCATGTCAGCTGGAGCCTATGTAGGTCTACAAAGCAGGTTCAGTCACCGCTGGGTTTATTTGCTTGTTGGCGATGTTAGGGATTGAAGTTGGCTAAACCTGTGGGCTACACCCCTAGGACACTGCTTCTGGGCTTCAAAGGGCATTTCAGCTTCCAGAGAGCTGGAAGAACGGACATCAAGCTGAGGGTGTGTCTGGCTCCCAGAGGTATCGTCGAGCTGATTAAAGCTACTAGCCAGCTCCTAGCAAGGGGCTGATTTGTGCCATTGAGGGCGACTGTACTGGGCTGGAAACTGAACAGCACAGTGGGCAGGGAGCCAGTGTGCCACAATACATTCCTGCTGCAAGAGAGATGTGAGCTGGGAGCCAGCAGAGCCGATGGAGTCCCCAGCAGGAAGCAGCTCAAGGGTCCAGTGCCACTTTGCAGGTTTCTGTAACACAGAGACAATGCCCTCAGCTCCCAGAGCTGCCGGCACTGCCCTCTGGAAATGGCCTGGCCTGAACCAAGCATCCATGTCCCCTGGCTCGTCCTCCTGGCAGATCCTCAGGCTCTGGTGACTAGGAGCTTGAGAGGTGCTCTTGTGAGATCTTCAAATAGAGCTCAGTCATTAAAGCCACCTGATGGCAGGATCTTCTGCCGGGGAAACGGATACATTTACAAATGTCACTGCTCATGGAATCTGTGAGAACCACATGTCATTGGAACTCTCTGACAGAGATGTCGATGGTGAAAATCACCAGACTCTACACAACCCATCCCTGCAGGGCCAGCAGATATTCCCACCTGGAAGGACCCTGGCTCTGAACTTAGGAGCCATGTGTGAACACTGGGATTTTCAAATTTCCAGCCTCGATTGCTTCAGCCATTCCTAACTTAACATGTTTCCATGGAGATGGCTGTTTTAGTCAACTGGGACATTCTGCTATGAGTCGGTCCCCCCCCCCCAGGACACCGATGAGCTCTATTTTCCACACTTGAAGCCAAGGAGCCCTGCTGAGTACCAACCAAAGAGTCTTAGCGAGCAGGAAAGACCAGTAGAGTGGCACACTTCTATCTATAGTCCCGTTGCTGAAGAGGCAGAGACAGGAGGATCATGATTTTAAGGCCAGTCTGTACAATGGAGGATACTGTCTCAAAATTCCCAAGGCTGGGGTGTGATATGGCCATCTCATTTATGGCTTGATCTCGTGCAGGGACAATACAGTATCTTCTGGGACACGACAGGACACTCAGGAACTCACAGTAGCTATGGCTGTCCTCACACAATCAATACAGTCAGCATTCCAGAGTGGAGTGAGAGGGTCTCCCAAGCCCCACCCCCAGCTGGGGAGCTGCTGACAGTAGATGGCTCTTGGAAGAGGGAGTCAGCTGTCATTAAGGGTGGCCCATGCTCCAGTGGGTGCCCCACACCCATGAGGAAATGGGCGGCACAAACTGGACTTGGCAGATCATAAAATAAATAAATAAAGAGGACGTGAAGTTGGAATGGGTATGGGTGGGACTAGGAGGAATTAGAGGAAGGGTGAATTTGATACAGATACATTGTATAGCTGGGCATGTGACTGTAAGCCCAGTACTTGGGAGGCAGACACAGGTGATATCTGTGAGTTTAAGGCCAGCCTGGTCTACATAGCAAGTTCCAGGTTATGTAGTTTGAGGCTAGCCTGCGACAAACATACATTCATACACACATACACACACAGTCTTTACTACAGGCTAGCACAGGCCAGCCTCTAATTATATAACCTGTGATGTGTGTGTGTGTGTGTGTGTGTGTGTGTGTATCTGGAGAGATGTCTCAGTGGGTAACAACTCATACCACTTTTGTAGAAGACTCAAGTTCAGCTGATAGCATCCATGTCAGGAGCTCACAACTGTCCATAACTCCAGCTCTAGAGGGTCCCACACCCTCTTCTGGACTCTGTGGGTACTTACACTCATGTGTACATACAAGGAGACATACACGTATACAGACACTTTAAAAATAATAAAAATGGCCAGGCAGTGGTGGTGCACACCTTTAATCCCAGCACTTGGGAGGCAGAAGCAGGAGCTTCTCTGTGAGTTCGAGACCAGCCTGGTCTACAAGAGCTAGTTCCAGGACAGGCTCCAAAACCACAGAGAAACCCTGTCTGGACAAACCAAGAAAAAAAAAAAATAAAAATAAAAGTCTTTAAAAGACAAGCTAAGGCTAAGATGTGGATCAGTGGTAGAACTGTTGCCTAGATGTGCAATTGCCAACACTGGAAATAAAATGGGAACAAAGAGAATTGTTATTCTAAGACTCCTTCCCCAGTTAGAAAAACAGGCAGAGGAAGGAGCCTAGCCTCCAGCAACCTTGAACACAGAAGCTCCTACGAAGGAAGGGGGAAGGGTCTGGAGAAAGGATTCATGGCTCTGAATTCAGCTTCTACTCTGGGCTAGTTTGAAGCCATCTGGTACAGCAGCGGGGCTATCTGAGAACTATCCCAGAACCACGTCATGAAGCTGGTGGTGCCTGTATTTATCCAGACTTTGGAAAGAAAATAAGTCCTCAGCTATCAGAGAAGATGCTCTGTGCTTAATTAATTGCAATTATTTTAGTGCCGGGGACCCAGGTAGCATCACTAGTCACAAAGAATGACAATCAGTATTGGACATGTTCACCTCTCTCTGCCTCATCATACCTGTGGGTGACTAGACAGGTGTGTTCCAGCCTCATGGGGTTCAGGGCTTCCTAAGATTACAGACAGTTCCTTCCGTGTGCCTGCATACCTGCCCAATCCTCCTGTCTAACATCCCCTAGCAGCTCTTCTCCAAAGACCCGAGAGTTAAAGTGGAGAACTGTTGTCGCTTGGGCAGGCAGGGACTGTGTCCGGTCCACCTTTGTGTTCTGACCCAGATCAGGGCTCAGAGAATGGCCCATGAGCCACTCTATCAGGAAAGGGTCGAGTCGTGTGACTTGCCTCAGATCGTACAGCTTGACATGGAATAGGGCAGTGCCATGTTCTGACCCCAAGCCCAGGCTAGTGCTTGTAGGCTGCTACCTCTGAGGGGACCGTCCCACCTGAGCATTGAGGAGCAGGCTAGGTAGAACCAATCATCTTTTCCTCCCTTTATTCTGTGGAATAGTTGAAAAGTAAGGGTTGGGTACAGACTCCAGTGACCACCGGCTGACTATTGGTGTGCCCTATACCATTCCGGGCATCAATTTCAACATCAGACTACTATGAGGCCCCCAGGGTAAGACCTGCAGGGCTGGAGCAAACCAAAATATGCCAAGCAAACAACATCTCCCTCCACCTTTTAGCCTTGGAGCGGAAAACAGTGCCAGATGGTGCCAGGCACAGACTACCTGTCTCCATAACAACCCGCTTGGTGCACTTCCCCTGGGAACCTGCAGGCAGCTGGCAGCTGCAGGAGGCCTGAGTGGGCTGTGGTTCTTCCTGGGACTCTTATGGACTGGCTTAAGTATGCCAATCATTAAACATGAATCCCCAGCCTTTCCTGCCCAGGTCAGGGCCCAGCTTCTTCTCTTCTCTTAAAGCTCTTAGCAGAGAGACACAGACTGTCTCCTGGGGGCAGGCTAGCTGCAGGGTACAGGGGAGCAAAACCCATGTGCACCAAAAGGAAGAAAAGAATAAAACGTAGTATACCTTCTGAGGGAAGGGACAGACCGACAAAGCTGGCTGGGTCAGATGAGAGGACATGGTGGTAAAACTCTGATTTCACAGACATCGTGTCCTTCTTGGGGCAAGAGCAAGGCTCAGTCAACAATGTCACCTGATGCAAGTCCCTGTCCCCTTGGGGTCTAAGACAAGGCTGGACCAAAAGACAGACCACAAAGGAGGAACCAGTGGGCAGCCAACTGAGGAGCCCTGAGGGAGGCCCAAGCAGCCACCAGGGGGCAGCCTGGGTCAGAACTAAGAGGCTGCAGCCGGCCTCTAGCAAGCCTCTAGGTCTCTCTGGTCACCTCAGAGACAGCAGCTAGAACTAAAGGATGTGTCCTGATCAAGAGTAGGGCTCTGGGAGCCAAGCCTGAGTCCCAGCCAACTCTTCAGCCATATAGAAGCCATTGGGTCCTAACCATGTTACTTGGCTGCCCAGCTCAGAAAAGGCTGGGGGTGTAGCTCAGTTGGTAGAAGAGCAGAGGCAGGCAGATCTCTGTGAGTTTGAGGCCACCCTAGTCTACAGAGAGAGAGAGAGAGAGAGAGAGAGAGAGAGAGAGAGAGAGAGAGAGAGAGAGAGTGTTCCAGGACAGCCAGAACTACACAGAGAACACCCCTCCCCCATCTCAAAAAAAAAAAGTGACTTGGTCATGCACACCTGTTAGCCCTGCACTTAGAGGTAGAGGCAGGAGGATCTGAAATTCAAGGTTATCCTTGGCTACCTAGTGAGTTCAAAGCCAGCTTGTTGTAATTTAAAAACAGCTGCTGGAGGGAAAAAGATACCATGTGACAGAGTTCAAGCCAAGGGTGTTTTTTAATTAGGAAAAGGGATCATAAAAAAGGGAAAGGGGAGGGGGAGACCAGCCTCAGGGGACAGGAGCAGCAGGAGAGAGAGAGGGGCAAAGGGGTAGAGGGGCAGAGGGAGAGGAAGAGAGAGGGGAGGAGGAGAGAAAGAGAGGATGGGAGGTGGGCAGGGCACTTTTAAAGGGGAACATAGTGAATATGCACAGGTGGTGCTCTTAGTGGCTGCAGCTGAGGGCGTGTCCTGTCAGAACCCCGAGGACAGGCCAGCACAGATGCCTGAATACTAACACAGCCTGTGATACATAATACCTCATCTCAAAACAATAAGTGAAATAAGCTTTGTAGGAGTTTTTCTTAAAAAAGAAAAGGGAAGCCAGGCATTGGTGGAGCATGCCTTTAATCCCAGCACTCAGGAGGCAGAGGCAGGAGGATCTCTGTGAATTTGAGGTCAGCCTGGTCTACAGAGCTAGTTCTAGGACAGGCTCTAAAGCAATACAGAGAAATCCTGGGTCAAAACACAAAATTAAAATAAAATAAAAAAGAAAAGGGAAACACTATATCCCAGAACACTGTTGGGCTCTGTCACCAAGCACGGGACACACGGGTACATGAAGGGATGGAACCATTCCACCGTGGGAGCTGTCATCACCACCACGGTCTCCAGGGAAACATCTCAGAAAGCAGCTTTGCCTTGGCATCCCTTCCTACCCTCATGGTCTTTGCTGGGTAAGGTTCCCTCCCTGAGCAGGTCCCTTTATCGGGTGGCATCAAGGATCTCGTAAGGTAGGTCTGAGGCACCAGTCCCCAGAGCCTGCACTGAAGCCCTGGCCCTGGGAGCGAGTACCTTTCAACTTACCTGCAGCTCGGCAGCCGTCACTTTGTGGTAGATGAGTTCCTCATCACGGCGCTTCTCCTGGGGGATGGTGATGTTGGCCAGCGCTGTCTCGAAGTCCAGGATCTGCTGCATCTGGGGCCGGATGGAGTCCTCGTCCCCACCACCCAGCAGCTTTCCCAGCTGGACCATGTAGTTCAGGTATCCAGTCAGCACCTGTGGGATCCAGCACCCCAAACTGTTCACAGCAGCCAGCTGCTGTCCTCTGAGCTAGAGGAGGGCAGGACAGACTACAGCCCAGCTCATACAGCCAAGGAACTCACTATGTAGATCAGGCTGGTTTTGAACTCACAGAGATACACCTGCCTCTCCTTCCCTAAAGGTATATATGCCTGGCTTGTTTTTCTATTTTTGAGACAAGGTTTTACTCTGTAGCCCAGGCTGGCCTGGAATTCATGGCAATCCTCCTGCCTCAGCCTCCTAAATGCTGGGATTACAGGCATGTGTCACCAAGCCCAACTTCTAAAATGTAGCTTCAAGAATGATTTTGATGCTGTGTCTGTCCACTGGTTCCCCATAGCCCTTAGGCTTGAGCTTCCAACAGGTCCCAGGGTGGTCTACAGGGCCTTGCTGCCTTGGCCCTATCTCTCTGAGCTCATTCCAGAGTTGATATTCTATCTTTTAAATTTTTATTTTTGTTTAATTTTTCACTGTGTGTGTGTGTGTGTGTGTGTGTGTGATATGTTGGAGGTTGCATGCATCATATTGTGTGTATGGAGGTCAGAGGACAGCCTTTTGGACTCAGTTCTCCCTTTTTACCTTTATGTGGCTTCTGGAGATCAAACTCATGTTGCCATGTTTGTGTGGCAAGCCTCTCTGCCTGCTAAGCCATCTCACTGGCCCAGTGTACCTTCTCTGAGCCACCTGCCAACGGTGTGTCCCCTGATCTGAGTCAAGTCCCCGAATTACATTGCTTCAGCTATTTCTCCACTAACAATGTGAGGCTGGATATCTAGCTGGGTGATCAGTCAAGTGAAGTTTGCCTCCCCTAGACCTCGAGGTCCCCGAGGGGACCACCTTCCCATCACTGGGCACTGAGCAGGCGCAGATGGGACATGTCTGTGAGCCTCAGGCCAGGTCTCCCCAAGGGCATCACAGGCACAGAAGGTTCTGGAGGAGCTGGCTCTGAATGTCCCTGAGTTAAAGGTGAGGTAAAAGTACCATCAGCTTGACAGCAGTGATGCCTACAGGCAGCTGTCACCACTGTTCTCTTTAGGGAAGGGATAAATGATGCCCTGTGCCTACAATGGGTGACTGTGACACAGGAGGCTTGGCACTCCTCCCCCTCAGTCGGCTGCCTGTGAGCCTTCCGGAAACAGACCTCCACAGAAGCCCCATTGTGCTGTCATGCATCCCGGGCAGTCTGGGCAAGCTCACCTTCTCATTTTCCGTCTTGTTCAGGTAATAGTCCCTAGAGGGCAAGCCGAGGCCAGACTGGTCCACCTGCAGAGGGACACAGAATGAGAGGGAAGCTCCTGGCTTGGCTACCACCTTCCCTGGGGCAGGTCTCAGCAGGAACAGTAGGAGCTGAGAGCCACCACTAAAACATCTACCCAGGGACTAGGGGTGGGACAGGTACAATCCCACCTATCTGCAGGAACTTGGGTTCTTCTGAAGGGCTAAACAAACCTCATTAAACAACCCCTGGCCTAGGCAAAACACACTATTTCACCAAATGTTGTCCATGTGGTTCGAGCCACCCCAAGCTGTGTGATCATGGTGAAGTTACTAAACCTTTCTGATCCTTTTGTTCTTCCTCTAGAAAATTAAGGAAATAGCAGCTACCCTGCAGAACAGGGATGGAAACTTGTGGAGACAATAGTGGGAAAAAAACCTTCTGAGAGTTGGGCAGGGAGGAGAGGAGCATTCTAGAGACCTGCCATGGAAGCTTTCTGGTTCCATCTTGACATACCTCGCCTCAGGTAGGTGTTATTATAGTGCATTTGGTTGACAAGGAAAGTATAGTTCAGAGAGGCTGAGCCACTTGCCTAAGATCACACAGCAAGTAAGTAGTATGGATGGGTCAGATGAAAGCAGGGAGAGATGGATTCAAATCCATTCCAAGCAGAGCCACAAAGGCCAGGGGCTGAGGCAGGGGAGCAGAGGGTTTCACCAGTCACGTCCAGGAGTTAGGGTCACTTCTTAGGCTCAGCCCACCTGGATCACATTGCTGTTGGAGTTCTTGGAGTCGGCACTGACGTAGACAGAGAAGAAGGGTGAGGTGCGGTAGTGGGCTGTGACCACTTGCAGTGTGTCCTGGAAGTTGTCCTTTGCCCAGGGTCCTGTGATGTTCCAGCCTCCGAGCTGTGGGGGGGGGGGGGAGAGCAGACAGGGGTGGGTGGTATGTGTGTGCACGGGTGTGTGCCTGTGGTAAGCTGGTATGAGAACACTATGCAAATCACACAGCCCCATGTTCTGTGACCCTGGAGCCCTCTGTCCTTTATGCTCTTATGCAAATGAACAGGTCACTGAGGGGTCTGTGCATCTGTGTCTGTGTGTCTTGGTACTTAGGGCACCATTCATCTTGGGTTTCTATTTTATTAGTTTTTAGATTCTCTTTTACAGACAGGTTCTCAGCCCTGGCTGTCCTGGAACTCACTATGTACACCAGGCTGGCCTCGAACTCACAGAGATCACTCCTGCCTCTGCTTCCAGAGTTCTGGGATTAAAAATGAGTGACAACACATCCAGCCACTTATCCTTAAGTGTGCTAAGAGCACACAAGACTGCTGCTCCCATATACCTGGGGTGGAATTGGGCTAAGACTGCCATGGACACAGTTTCCTGAGTCAACGGACACAGTGATATTAAAACATAGTTCCAATGGTGTTTATGGGGAAGAGGAGAAGTCATAGTCGTCTCTTTTTTTTTTTTTAACTTTTATTTCATGTGCATTGGCATTTTGCCTTCATGTGTGTCTGTGTAAGGATGTAGGATCCTCTGGAACTGGAATTATAGATAGTTTTGATCTGACATGTAGGTTCTGGGAATTGAACCTGGGACCTCTGGAAGAGCAACCAGTGTTCCTAACCACTGAGCAGTCATATGTCTTACAAACTGGTAACGAGCGCTTGCTCTGGAATGGAAACCAACATGGCCGTCAAGCCCATGACTCCAGTGCTGTAAGGAACTGGAGGATTGCAGGGGCCTGCTGGCACCTCCCCAGCTCCATGTTCAGTGAGGAGGCCCTGTCTCAGGGGGATAAGGAAGAGTGACAAAGCAGGCCATCTTCTGGCCTCCATGTGCCCACATAAATACACATGCATACACACACATACTCTACCCTTGGTCCCCCTAGCTTGGCACATGCTGGCCCATGGGACCTGTGCAAGAGAGGAGGGACAGATACTGTCCCAGGGTCACCAACCCCCATGCAAGACCTTGCCCAAGGTGAGCTGAGAAGCAAAGTCCATGAGGGCACAGGGGTGGCTAGAAAACATCCCCAGCCACCTCTGCCTGCACCCGGAAGTCTGGCTAGCTTCGAGCAGCCCTCCTTGGAGGCCACCCAAGACTGCAAATGTGCGTAGGGTGGACTGGTTGGGCAGGAGGCTAGCGATGCAGCTTAGCTGGCAGAGTACATGTCTCACATGCACAACGCCTCTGTTCAACCTCTAGTGACATACAGAACCAGGCACCGTGGCACATGCCTGTAGTGTCAGCCCTCAGGAGGTCAAGGCAGCAAGATCACAAGTTCAAAGGCATTCTTAGTTACAAAGCAAGTTTGAGGCCAGGCTGGGCTATGTGACTCTGTCTCAAAAAAAAAAAAAAAAAGGATAAATTACTTAGTAGCAATCAGACTAGGGTGCTGCTAGAATAGCACATCCCTTTACATAATATACATGGGACCAGAACAGCAACAGAGAGGACGGTTTTGATACCAATACAATCCCTGCCTCCACCTAGACACATATATTCATCTCCCCCAAATGTTGACACACACCCCTATATCAGCCACACAGACAGATCCACCCACATAGAGCCATGCACACACATGCTCAGGCAACCCCAACACCCACAGGAGACAGATGGGCACAGAGCTCCAGCTGGGTGTGGTAGCTGGAGGTGTGAGGTGGCTGAGAGCTGGGGTGGAAGCCAGAGGGCCTGGCAGGAGGCTTTGCAGAGGGAGGTAGTGGGCATTCACCTGAGCACCCACCTTCTCAATCAGTTCCATCAGGGGCTTGGCCCGAAGCTCCTCAATCCTAGTTTCGTTCATGCATGCTCGATAGTACACTTGGGCCTTCCTCTCTGCCTCACTCACGCTGGCAGTGGAATTTTCTAGAATGTCAAGAAATAAGAGAGTTTGTCCCGACTGGGTGAGCTCTTCCCGGATCCTCAGCACTTCAGGCTGTATAAAAGCACCGTGATTACTGTTCATGGAGAAGCCTTGTCCTGGGGCTCTATATGAGGACCTCTGGGCAGAGCTGACATGATTAGAGGTATACCCGAATTTTAACTGACTGTTATCAAAAGTGTGTTTCTCCTCTCTGCAAGATGGCCTTACAGATAAGTCTCTGGGAAGGCAATGTGTGCTGTGCTGGATAGCTTTGTGTCAACTTGACACAAGCTCAAGTCATCTGAGAGGAGGGGACATTAACCAGACTGTAGGCAAGCCTATAGAGAATTTTCTTAATTAGTGATTGATGGGGGAGAGCCCCACCCATTATGGGAGGTGCCATCCCTAGGCAGGTGGTCCTGGGTTTTATAAAAAAGCAGGGTAAGCCAGGAAGCAGCACCCCTCTTCATCAGCTCCTGCTCTAGGTTTTGGCCCTGTTTGAGCTCCTGCCCTGCCTTTCTTCAATGATGGGCTACAATGTGGAAGTGTAAGCCAAATAGGCCCTTTCCTCCCCAACTTGCTTTTGGTTGGTGTTTCATCACAACAATTGCTATTCTAAGTAAGACATGTGCCCGCCCAGCAGGATGGCTGGTTTCCCTACCAGACAGCACATGGCCCTGAATCCCTGCCTGAAAAGTGGGCATCTTGCCATGGTTTTCGGATCCCAGATGACCTCTTCTGGGAACAAGGAAGGAGTTGGATAAGGCTTGAAAGGCTTCATTCATTAGGAACTGACTTCTCACTTTCTCCCGTGAGGGCTAGGTGAGGGCTAGATATGTTAGCCAGGCTTACGGAGGGTTCAAAGGGTTGTTTTCCACGTCCCACCCTGGTGGCCCCGGCTAGGGCTGTATTTCATCCTACTGGGGGCAGGGTGGGCTTAGAACTTCCTTGACACCCATGAGATTCCTTCCCCCTCCTCCCCCTCCTCAGCTCCTGTGCTACCTGCCACCTGCTGAAGGTCACATGCCCGCACATGTGTGGCCTGGAAGGTTCCTCCTGTTGCTCTGAGAGTAGTTATACCACTTCGTGCTGCTCAGGCCCTGCACTAGAGCTGCTATGTCTGAGCAAACGCGCGCGCGCACACACACACACACACACACACACACCAGAGTCCAGCTTCAGAGTGGGCAACTCTGCGATGCTGAGACTATTTTTTTTTTTTTTTTACTCCTTTCACATTAGTTTCTGACTTTGAAGCCTTTTCCTTTGCTTCCTTCTAAGATCTCCCCAGCCCTTTCTCCTCCACAAACCAGTCTCTGGCGGGACCCTCTGCCTCTGTTCATCAGGCAGACATTGTAGGTTCACTCTGGGCTACACACCATATAACCACTGGGATACCAACAGCAAGGCCCCTGCTCCCCGGGGCTCCTGCACAAAACCCTGAGGAAGCCAGGTTCTGCTCCCAGGTCTTCTCAGAGGTCGCTGATCTGGAGCTTCACTTTAGGTTTTCAGCACTCTGGGCACAGCCTGGATGCTGGACACCAGGTTGAGCAAGAAGTTTTACACACAGACACGGGACCTGTTTCCTGACCCCAGAGAACTCGTGATGAGGATGAGGGACAGGGATGTGCAGAGAACAGCCTGCAGGGGACTAAGTACTTTAAAGAATGTGATGGCTCTGGCTTCAGGCTGGGATGACCTGAGGTGCCATCATGCTCAGTTTGTCTAGCACTGGTGTTACCCCCCAGGGCCCTGCAATGCTGGGCAAGCACTGTACCAGCAGGTACAGTCCCAGCCCCAGATGATGCTCTGTGTGAGCTGAGTCTCAAAGATTAAAGGGGGTTCACAGGGTGGAGGGAGGGCACTTGAGGGGGGTAGGACAGTAAAGGACCAAGGAGAGACACACAAAAGGACAAGTTTGTGAAAGAGAGACAGCCCTTTCTCACAGGTAAGTGATGCCATTTCCTGGGAAGTCTGTTTTAAATGTATGTGCATTGGTGTTGTGTCTGCATATATGTCAGGATGAGGGTGTCAGGTCCCCTGGAACTGGAGTTACAGACAGTTATAAGCTGCCATGTGGGTGCTGGGAATTGAACCTGGGTCCTCTGGAAGAGCAGTCAGTGCTCTTAACTGCTAAGTGCCTCACTAGCCCCTCCTGGGAAGTCTCTCTCACCTCCACAGTCATTCCCCATCCTCACCAGAAATGGCACCAAAGCTGTCACTGATCAGTGGGCCCCAAGGGGATGATGGAATGAAGCCTCTAGTAGAGGGAGGTTGGAAACAGGAGAGCCAGAGTCTCAGGCTTGAGAGGAAAGCAGGGATGGGAAGGGGAAATGCCCCACACCTCAAGGCCTCATCTCCATGGCAACACTCCCACCAGTTCAGCTCTTAGAAGGGAAAGCAGAAGTGCCAGGTGCTGGCCAGGTCCCAGAAGCTTTCTCTCACCATCCACACCTGGCTCTGGCCATGACCCTAAGAGGTAAGGGCCAGCATCAGAGGCAGAACTCTGTGCCCAAAAAGGAGCCTGACATCTGCTTTCCCCAGGGCCCCAAGGCCACAGAGATAAGAAACCTAAAGACAAATTCCCCAAGGACAGCCTGGCTGTGCTCATCACAGTGTGTTCTGAGTTTCAGCTGGAGGCCGCTGACTGGACTCCCCCCACCTCCCCCCTCCCCCATCTGGAGGGAGAGAGAACACACAGTTGCTTCATGAAGGCCATCCTTTCCTGTGAGGCTTCCCTGACCAGGTTGGGTTTCTGTGGCCATGCTGGTGGCTCTCCCACAGCTAATCATTTCGTTCCCAGGGTTGGCAGCTGCCGGGCTAGGTGTAAAAGAGGCATGGGCAGTGGGGGAGACAGCCCGCAAGCAGTGGCGAGAGCATCTAACTGCATACTGCGACAGGGATGGCGTCTGGCCTGCCTCTGCCTCATGTCCTGTATCCCTAGGATCAGGCACACAGTAGGCCCCCCAGCCACATGTGGCACAAGAGCAGAGCTCAGAATAAAGCAGCACACCGTATCCGGGAGAGAAGGGTGGGAAATGAGGGCTGTCTAGCAGGCCCAAGCATGGTAAACATGGCACTGGCAGGTCTTACCTACCCTCTTCCCTCTCCTTTGCCAAACACTTAGATTACACTCCTAAAGCTAGCCACCAAGGTCTATTCCCTTATTTGGCCACTGACCCCTTCTTGAGACTAAACAAGGTCCAACAATCAAACTTCATTAATCGGCTACACTGGCTGACCTGTCCAATCAGGACTTACCGACTCACCCCAGCACCAACTTCCCTTTTTTTTTTTTCCTTAAAACTCACTCCTGCAGACACCAAGACAAATAAAAAACACTCCCTGCTGCTCCTTGCAGTCTCCCTTTGTCTGATCCATCCTCAGTGCCCCCCCAACCCCGCTTGCCCCTGGGGTAATAAATCCTCTTTGTGCTTGGTGTCTGGGTGTGCCCTGTACCAACTCCATCCCCTACAATAAGGCCAGTTCCAGGCTGAGATCTATAAGGAGAGGAAGGAAGGCAGGATGGGTGGGCACAGTGGGGGACGGGCATTCATATCTCTGCCAGGTGTGTCTCACTTATGCGCCAGCCAACGTTGACCTGGTGAGGGCAGAATCTCAGGGACAGCCTGAGGCACGCCGGCTTCTACCTGAGGCAGCGGCTACTACCTTTCAAGCTCAGAGGGACCTGAACTGAATCGAGTTAGCTGGGGAATTGGCTCGGTTGGTAAAGTGTTGCTATGCAAGCATGGGGACCTGAGTTCAGATCCCCCCAGCACCCACGTAAGAGCTGGGTACAGCTGCACATGCTTGTAACCCCAATGTTGGAGGGCATGGAGACAAGTGGTCCCTGGCCAGCCAATCTAGCTGAATCAGTGAGCTCCAGGCTCATCGAAAGAGCCTGCCCCCCCCAAAAAAAAGAGAGAGAGAGAGAGAGAGTAGAAATGGAGGAAAATACCTGCCCTTGCCCTCTGGCCTCCAAACGCGCTCGCACACACACGCACACACATGAACACACCTGTGAGAGAACACAAATGATGGATATATGAGAGGTATTTTGGGCCATGTAGGAGAGTTGCACAATGGGCTCGGCCTCTTCAGCAGCCGCTACTACTGACTGGAATGTAAAGGCCAGGAGAAAACTGGGGAGAATAAAAGACCTCCAGGGCTCCAGTGGTATGGGAGTCTTTTGGCAGCATAGGACCAGACAACAGAGTTTCCAATTGCCTAGTTATTTCCTTCCACAGACCCCATGTTCCAGAAACTTCTACAGTCACTTCCCCAAAATCCCAGAGAGGAAAGACAGCACACTGGTTAATCGGCCCTCTTTTTCCTCTGGAAGTTTTTCTTGGATTCCTTTCTCACATCACTGCTGGGGTTAGGAAGCAAACGCCCAGGCAGCCAGGCAGGCAGGGGCTGAGATGGGCTACAGGAACAGGGTGCCTGGGAATTCCACGGTCTCCCTGGCTGCCTCGGCATTGTCTGGGCAGAAGTATGTGGGGCCTGGAGTCTCCATCAGGGCAAGGCCAGTGTTTGTTTTAGATAAAACCACAGACTCAGTTCAGACAGCTCCTGGCCTCAAGAACTCCATACTAGAGGGAGAGGAGGGGCTGATAAAGAGGAGGCCAGCTCTTTGTGACAATACCATCAATACTTCCTGGTGCCGAGTGCAGGCCAGGCCAGGCCTGTGTCTCATCATCACAGAGGGATGGATGAGGTGTTATCAGCCGAAGGGAAGGAAAAAGGGGCCAGGAAGGTGAAGGAGCCTGCTGACAAAAGCAACCTGACTAATGAGCCTGCTGGAATTTGAGCTCAGGCATTCTTAAGCCTCCCGGAGAAACCGGACTGCCTCTCTGCACGTGGGTGTAGCCCATGTGTGCAACTAGTCACAGCACTCACCACAAGTGGCTCTTACTTGGATCACACCCAATCTATAGGCAAGTGATCGGGAAACTGGTCCTAGGTCACATAAGTAAGTGGCTGAGGCCAGGACTGGCGTCCCAGTCTCTCTGTTTGCTTGCTCCTTCTTGCCAGTCAGTATGCTGGAAAAACCGGGCCAGAAGATAGTTCACCCACTCTCCCTGCCCCCCAAGAAGTCCTGCACTCACCTCCCTGCCCGAATCATCAAATCCACCAGAACCATTCTACAGTGAAAGCACATCAACTGTTGCAGACACTACACTAGGGGAGTCCTTTGTAAGGCAGACAGAGGACAGGAAGAGGAAACTGAGTGAGACAGTAAATATTGGGAAAACATAATCAAAATGAAAATGAGATGATATGTGATGATGTAAATTTGTGGCCAAGACATCAGCATGCACCCATTTCCTGAGGCTGGAATGTTGTGTTCTCAAAGTGATTGGTATCAGGGACATAAAAAAGGAAGGGAGGTAGCTATCTCCCTCTACCCCTGCCCTGTGATTGTTCTTTATGAAATTTGTGCTATCTCAAACATCACAACAAGCTTGCACTCAGTATTTTAAGTATTTACCCTTGTTTTGCTTTTGAGTCCAAGTCTCATATAAACCAGGCTGACCTTGGACTCAATATATATCAAAGGATGGCCTTGAACTCCTGATCGTCCCACCTCTGCCTCCAGAATGCCAGGGTTACAGGAATGCACCACCATGCCCAGTTTTATGTTCCCATCTTATAAGATGCTGTAAATCGGAAAGGTACACACATACCAGTGTGACTCAGGCCTCAGGAGGCCCTTTGCTAGAAGACATAACAGGGAAATAGGCTTAATAGAGTTTAAAGGGCTTAAGAGATGACTCAGTGTCCTAGAAACATGAGGATCTAAGTTTGGAATGCCAGCACCCACACAGAAGCTGGGTGTGGCAGCCTAGGCCTATAACCCCAAAGCTAGGGGGATGGAGACAGGTCAATTCCAGACCTTGCTGGTCAGCCAGTCTAGCATTAACAGTGAGATCTAGTTTCAGATAGACTCTGCTTCAAAAGCATAAGGGAGAGGAGCAACTGAGAAAGATAGCCAATGTTGACCTCTGACTTCACACAAATATGCACGGGCAAGCATACACCACACACACACACACACACACACACACACACACACACACACACACACTACACATATACAATACACAAGACGGGAGAGGGACTCTCAGTCTGGAAGGGTTTGTGGAGCAGGCTGTCTAGATGGTAAAATAAGATGAGCTAAGCGCAGCTGGAAAGCCAAAGGCAAGGCCAAGTCTAAGGGCCGATATAAGGCAGTCACAGTAATCCCAGCACTTAGAAGTGAAGACAGGAGGATGGGAAGCTAAAAGTCATCTGGCTTCGTAGGGAGTACAAGGCCAGCATGGGCTGGAGACCCCGAGGAAAGAAGGAAGGAAGGAGGGAGGGAGGAAGGAAGGACATCGCCTGCTCAAGGCTACACTTCACATTCACATTACCATCTCTGCTGTTGGGCCAGCAGCATAGTCCTCATGATACTCTAAATGCCCCACTTTATCTCTACCTACCTGACAGCCCCGGCAGGCTACCTTTGGAGGTGCTGAACACCCCATGATCCGGTGCCTGCCAGTTGTTAGCCCTGGCTCCTCCTGAAGCCTACTGGCTGACCCTTTGTCTTAGCTGAAAGGTGACCCTAGGACATGGCTTGTGTGTGTGTGTGTGTGTGTGTGTGTGTGTGTGTGTGTGTGTGTGTGTGTGTTTTTGCTGAGCACTTTAAGGGCCGGACTCCATGTTAAGCCTCTGAACCACTGCATGCAAGTCAAAACTCATAGAAACCTTCCCCGTGGGATGGCACCTGGGGTCATGTTTTAGGGCATTTGGCATAGAATAGGGCCCTGACTGAGCAGCCAAGCTGGTCTATAGGGAGCCTACCTGGCTTGGAACTCTGCAGTGTGGCCCTGATACCACAAGGCCCTGCTGTTCCCCATGTCAAGGTCTTGTTTGGTTGTTACTGCACAAGGCAGATCCCTACTATCAACTTGACCCCAAGGGACAGAGTGGATAGAAAAGTCATAGCCCAGGACTGGAGGCCACTCCCTGTGAACCCTGACAGCTTAGTGGGTAAAATGAGGAGCTGAGGGGTCCTGCTAGGGAGCTGCTGGGGACTGCAGGGGAGAAGCTGCCTAGCAACAGTCCTGGTCTGAGGCTGGGGTGGGGGTGGGAAGGAAGGGTATGGTGTCCTTAACCCACTTGCATCTAAAGGGCATGGTTGCCTTAACATCAGCTGTTAAGTTAGAATCATTTCCTATCTCCTGAGATGATTTTCGTTGCTTAGAGAGGATTTGTCCTCTTTTAGGTGGCTACATCTGTGTCACCTACTCCTCAGAACGCTGAAGGGCTTTAAAAAAAACCTGACAATCGGGGTGTGGTGGCTCACACCTGTCATCCCAGCCCTTGAAAAGTGAAGGCAGGCGGATTGCTTCAAATCCAAGGCCAATCTGGACTCCACAGGGAGACCTTGTCTCAAAAATCCAACCACCTGCTAAGACACAGTTAAGTATTCATGAATCTAAGTCATGCCACTGACAGCTATTAATAGATGTTTCACTTTCTGGCCCTTCCCCAGCTCTGGGAGTCCCTGGAGAGGGCAGAGGGCAGAGGGTAGAAAGATAGGGGGCTGGAAGGGCTTCCTGAGGTCAGAACATGTGGTCCGCACATGCTGAGACTCCTGGGAGAGAAGGCAGTGAGTGGGCAGGATCTTATATATTAACCAGGAATACAGCACGAGCAGGACAGACCTGGGGGTCTAACCACGGTCAAAGGGACTTTGAATAGTTAGGTGTCCTTCAGGGCTGCTGTGACTCTATCTATGGAGCGACAAACTCTGATAAGCTGTTATTTGTCATACTTTGCTTTCTTTCTGGGTTTTCTTTTTGAGATGGGCTTTGAAGCCCAGGTTGACCTTTTTTTTTTTTTTAAATCTTTGTTTTTTGAGACAGGGTTTCTCAGTGAAGCCTTGGCTGTCCTGGAACTCCCTCTGTAGATCAGGATGGCTTCAAACTCACAGAAACCCTCCTGCCTCTGCCTCCCAAGTGCTGGGATTAATGGTGTGCACCACCACTGTCTGGCTTCCCCAGATTGACTAATTGAACTGATCTTCCAGCCTCCACCTCCCAAGTGCTGGGATTACAGGCATTTACAGATATCACACCAGGTTTCACGTGAGCTGGGGACTGAACCCATGACCTTGTGCATGCCAGGCAAACACTACCTACTGAGCTATACACCCCGCCCTCTGTACTGTCTGGTCTGGAGCATCTCACCTGTTCCTTACCCTCACAATACTGCAAACTCAGTCAGTGCCAGCCAGGAGCTGAGCTGTGCCTTGAAAGCTTCAGCTAGAAGCTCTGTGTACCTATGTATGCAGTACCAACCACCTCACACACGCTCTCTAGTGCTGCAAACTGTGGGTGCTACTGATCTCATGTCCCAAAGGAAAAGACTAAAGCTCAGAGTTAACCAGCTCACTGGGGCTCCACACAGGGAGGGACATTGCCCCCCACAGCCCCTCCATTGGTTCCCCTGGTTCTTACCCAGCAGATGTTTGATGATGGCTTGATTGTGTTCCCAGAGGTTGCTGAAGGTCCCCCAGCGTGAATGTCCATCGGGCACCGGGTTGGCTTTGATCCAGCCCCCACAGGCATAGCTGAAGAAGTCCTGGCAGGGGTCTACTGTGGGATCCATGGAGTTTAGGATGGAGCTGGTCACTGAGATGCAGGCCTCACTCAGACATACTGGGGGCGTTCCTGAGGGTCAAGGACAGACGGCCAATGAAGGTGAGCAGCACAGGTGGCCTGGAGCCCAGAGGCCCAGGAGTTACAAACCCCACCTGGCCCTGACCTAGCTGGGCGGTTACTGGATCCCTCATGAGATAGAATTCATGAGATTTAGCGTTTCTTGGTGCTTAGAATAAAACTTCTGCTAGCTTCATAAACTCCTTTCTGTGGTTTCAAAGAGCTCAGAGCTAGGACAATTTCCTCTCTGCAGCCCTTCCTCCATGAAGACTTCTGATGTTGATGCCAACAAATTTATTTGACTTTTCAATACAATTACCAATGAATGTCTTCCAGGTTCTCTCTCTCTCTCTCTCTCTCTCTCTCTCTCTCTCTCTCTCTCTCTGTGCATATGTGTGAGACAGACTTTATACAATGTGCATACACCATACACGTGTGTGTTCACACACCATATACACATTTATGCATACACACACACACACACTTAGGGCAGAGAATGTAGCTCAGTTAGTAGAACCCTGGGTTCAGTCCCCAGCATCACACAGAACAGAGAGGATTGGCACAGGCCTGTAACCCTAACATCTGGGAGGTAGAGAGAGAAGGATGGATCAGAAGTTCAAAGTCATTTTCAGCTATGAAGGATTGCAGGAAGTCAGCCTGCAGGAGACCCTACCTCAAAACAAAAACAAAAAACAAAACAAAATTATTGCACTATTGGCATCTGGGCTGAAAAGAATCTCCAAGTGCTGGGAATGGAGCCGGGGCCTTCCTTGCACACGCTAGGCAAATGCTCTACCACTGAGTCACAGCTCCCGGAGAGCTCTTCTGAGGCAGGGCTGACAGAGTCACTTACGGTAACACTAATCAAATCAGAGTCGAACACCCCAGTTCCTGGCGATGGGGAAGGCCAGAACTTTCTATGGAGAAAGGGAGTATGTGTGTGTGTCTGTGTTTGCAAAGGGCTATTCACTATTCATATTGGGAAAATAGTACCTATTGTTTTTACTCAGCAAACTGCAGGAAGTCTTGCCTGGCAAACTCTTGGCTGGAAATACCCAGAAGGCAGACACTGAGGGAACCTGGGTTTGAAAACAACATGAGAGAAGGCAAATGGAGGTAGTTCACTCCTTTCATCTCAGCACGAGGGAGGCAGAGGCAGTGGATCTCTGAGTTTGGTCCATCCTGGTCTACAGAGTGAGTTCCAGGATAGCCAGGATAGAACAGCCAAGGCTACACAGAGAAACTGCCCTGAAAAACCAAAACAATAATAACAACAATGAAACCTAAACATCCCTGGCCCATCAGGAACTTAATGTCTATGTGCCTGACTAATGAATGGTTTGGGGGACCACATCTGACCGATTGATATTTAGGGCCGTCTCATCTAAGTCCCCTATTCCCTGGAAACCTTCCTAGGCCCTCTTGTGTTGTGTTCCTTCCTGCCTTGGGCACCTACCATACTCCCATGAACTGTGCTATGTCACTGTCACATCCCTGTCCACCTCCCCTGAAGAGTAGGAACTTGTTTTCACTCATCCTTTGTCCAGCCTGTGCATGACATCCATTGCTGCTCAGTGAGTGTTTGTGGAATGAACAGCTAACCTACTGGATGAAAGTGTTTATGACCTGCTCATCTGCTGGTCACCTTTCTTTTGGGACGCACACAATCGGCTGAATAGGCAGAAAGCAGCTCAGATGTAATTTAATCATCTGATAGTACCTGATCTCTGTCATGCCATCCAAGATGCTTTAATTATTTGAAAACATATTTATTGTGTGAGTATGTGCGTGAGTGTGCGTGTGTAAGTGTATTGTGAGACTGTGTGCCACAGCATGTGTGTGGCAGTAGGAGGACAATTTACAGACGTCGATGCTCTTGTCCTTCTACCACGTAGGCTCAGGTCATCAGGCTTGACAGCAAGTGCCTTTGCCCACTTAGCCATCTATCTGGCCTTCAAGATGCTTTGAAATGCTTTACAGAACAGGGCTAAGGAAGTAGGTTAGTCAGTAACCCCAGAACCCACATATAAACACTAGAAAGATGGCACACACTTGTAATCCTAATGCAGGCTGGTCAAGCATAATAGGTGAGCTCCAGGTCAGTGAGAGTCACTATCATGATGGAGATGAATGGCGTTCCTAAGGATGACACCCAAGTGTTGTTGTCTGGCCTGTTCACAGGTGTGTGTACGCACGCGCGCGCGCGCACACACACACACACACACACACACCAAAACCCCAAACAAAAAACGAGCAACAAAAACTTCCCACTAGAGAGATGGCTCAGTGGTTGAGAACACTGGCTGCCCTTCCAAAGGATCTGGGTTCAATTTCCAGCATTCACATGGCAGCTCACACCTATCTGTAACTCTAGATCCTAGAGTATCCTCTTCTGACCTCTGCAGGTACCAAGCATGCATGAGGTGCATAAACACATAGGCAAAATGCTCAGACAGATAAATAAGCATTTTGGGGAAGGGAGTTCAAGACTCTATATTGCTTTGGAACCTGTCCTGGAACTTGCTCTGTAGACCAGGCTGGACTAGAACTCACAGAGATCTGCCTGCCTCTGCCTCCCAAGTGCTGGGATTAAAGGCGTATACCACCAACACCTGGCATAAGAAACATTTTAAAGTATTTAAAAAAAGAGAGAGAGAGAGAGAGACCAACATTCCTGGAAGAACCCTGTGTTTGTTTTGCTGCTGTTTGGAAAGCAGCTGCTAGTCTCTGGGAAGAAGGCTTCCGAAGCAGGGAGGTGGGTCAGAATGTCCCCAGGGGCCTAGACACTGCTTAGAGGTGGGCCTTCTAGAATTATCTGAGGAGCTGCTTTGCCTGGCCTGGTGTTTGCTCAGATGCAGCCAAAGTCAGGCTGCTGGTGCGTAAAGAGGTTCTGCCAAGTTCTGAGGCGGAGGCTGCTTTCTCGTGGTGCATGGATTTCCTGAGCCTTAGCCCAGCTCCACCCTAAGGCAAGAGGGCCATCTATCCCAGGTCCAGAATTGGAGGCAGAAAGGAATGGGACAGAGGCAGATGCTGAAATCCTCTCCAGGAACCCACCTGGCAGCAACAATAGCTGTGTAAAGTCTGGGAATCAAACTCAAGCTGTCAGGCTTGGCAGCAAGCACTTTATCCACTGAGCCATCTTGTCAGCCCCTACCATGCTTTTTATTTTTGAGCTGTTCTTTGGGAGCACTCTGAGTCCTGAAGAAACATGTTGGGGTTCCTAAGTCCAGGCTGGGATCCAGGCTGCTCCCCATTTCTGGGGGGCAGATAGTGCTGGGTCCACCCTGCCTGGCAGGATGCTCTGACAAGAAGCTGACTCAGGATGGGGTAGCTGCAGAAAGATGATGATCTACTTTGCACACGCTCATATGCACACTTCCACAGTAAACAGAAGCCATTACTGTCATTCTACTGAAACTACGGATGGCAAGCAGTCACACCTTCACAGCAATGGAGCCAACGCTAACTGGAGAAGTCCTCGGGGACACCGGATACACACATCATCAGAGTCATCCCTTAACTGTGCACGCCCCCTTCCCCATTTAGAGAAGAAAAAAAATGTAAGTTTTGGAAATGAAGTGGCATGTCCAGCCATGAAGTTGCTGAACCAGGGTGTGAACTCATGTCCTTTGGTTGTGTTGCTTTGAGGCAGGGTCTAACGTAGTCTAGAAAGGCTTTGAACTTACTAAGTGATGCAGGCTAGCCTTGAAATCCTGATTCACCTGCCTCAGCTTACCAGGGTATTGAGATTAGAGACCTGAGCCACTGCAATCAAATTTGTTCTTCTGACTTCAAAACCTTCATAGCACCCACCCATTCCACCCACCTCTTTGTCTACATCCCGAGCCCCTAGGCGTCTCTCTCCTTTGCTTTGGAGGCCAATCCCAGCTTGAACAAGGTCCCCCACCTTGTACAAAATGACAGAGCAGAAAGAAGCATGGTTAAGCCCACCACAAATAACAGATGAACCTACTTGTCCGGTACTGGATACCCAGGGCCGCCAGGCAGGCCCCCAACCCTGCTCCCAGAAGCACCACCAGCACCACCAGCCTCTTCTCTGCTGAGGTCCGAGCTGCCCAGCACCGCTGGCCACTCCGGGGGCTTCGGAAGTTCACCTGCAGGGAAGGAGGCAAGAGGGGTGGCAAGACTGTGAGCTCGGGGTCCTCCTTCCCCAAGAGGAAGGGGCTCTGCTGTAAGCCCAGACCCTGGGGAGGCATCGGGCTGCTAGTCTGTCTTGGGGTGGTCCAGTTCCCACAGAATCTGCTCTAATCTAGGAACAGAACCACCACCCTGGCCAGTAGCTTAGATTTGTTCTCAGACATCAGAACTAGCAGCTCAGCCCAGGAGGGCTTGTGTTTTCTATGACACCAGATACCACTAGATGGAAAAAAAAAAAAAAAAAAAAAAAAAAAAGCTGCAGCTTTCCCATTTCTCCAATAAGGAGCTCAAAAAAAAGAACAGGATGTTTGGCCTTGAAGGCATTCAGAGGGCGGTCAGCTGGGCCCTCCTCAGACCTCCTGCATCCACAGAGCCAGAGTCGAACATGACAGGACCACAGCTCCTGCTCTCTACAAGTGGGGACACATTCGGCCCAACAACCCTTTCTAATCCCATCAGGGCTGCTTCTGCTTTTACAAATGAGACTGGGGTTCCCGGTCACTTGTCATACAGTTGAATGGGTAGGTGTGAGATCTAAAGTAGTCTGTAGATTCTAGAGCCTCCCACGGGCCAGAGACACGGATGGGTCTTAGGAGATGGTAGGGGAAGACAAGGAGAAATAGCTCCACTTGGGCAGGTCTTCTCATGGAGGAAAAATGTGCCAGGCCCCATACTCTGGCTAAACAGGAAAGGAGGTACAATGAGGGGAAGTGGAGGGTGTGGCAGGCCCTTGGGGGCAGGGAACTTGAGGAGGGACATCCTGCCAACATTGCTCAGGACCCATACTCTTCCTCACACCCAGAGCCAGCACAGGGAGGGGTGGGAGGGTCGGGAGGGGGTCTCTTCTGTTCCAAGAGGTACTTCCGGCAAAAGCCAGGAGGGACACAGACAGGAAGAGTCCCCAGAAGGTGGGGCTGTTCAGTGACATCACCCTGTACAAACAGCTGGGCACCAACTCCTTTGCTTACAGCGAAGAGGGGAGGCAGATGATGAACAGACAGACGGGTGGACACGGAAGGCTTCCTGGAGGAGGTGATGTCTGCCTTGGGGGCAGAGACAAGATGGCCAAGGGTGCAAGGCGTAGCTCTGAGAAAGAACAGGAACTTCCTCCAAAGGACTGGCAAGAGATGTCACTATACCTGCCCTTTAGGGTGGGCAATGAGGAGGGAGTAATGCTTGCAGGAACAGTAGGAGTCCCTAAGAGGTCCCCAGCATGCCAGGGGACCTAGGGATACCCATAGAGCTGTGCAGGGAGGGACTGCCCCCAGAGCAGGTCAGAGCACACCAGACCTGAGATGGGTCACCTTCGGGAAGGGTCTCTCGGCCATCCTAGGGTAACCCCCTTGGTGCTAAAAGAGAAAGAGGAACATGGGGACTTCTTGTGGAAGAAAAACTGGGATCTAAAACTGTAAAAAAGGATGCTGAGAACCAGGATACTCCCTGACTGACCAGGAGGTGTGCACCCAAGGTGGTGGCCAGGTGGTGCTGGGGTGGCGAGGTGGTGGTGGGGGCTGCCCAAGGAGACCCTCTCGGCTTTAAACAGGAAAAGGTAGGGGTTTCTGGCCAGGGCACTCTCACCTGTTCAGAGACAGCCTGGGACATGTGCTCTCATGGACACAATACCTTTCGGCCATCCAGTTATCTCACTCAAATTTACCTCAGGTTCTGGTATACAGAGGAGCACCTAGGGCTAGAGCCAGGCATAGCCTTGCCAGGGGACATCGACATCAATATCCCTTCACCCAACTGTCCTTCTCCAGGCCTGGTCCCAACCTTTCTCCACGACCCCGTGGCCTCTCCTGCCTCACAGTCATGGCTCAGTTAACAGAGCTCAGAGGCAGGGAGGCCTCGGTGTGAGAGGCTTCCTCAGCTTGGTGCCCACTCTGGGGAGCTGGTGGGACAGACTGTTCAGCTTGGGGGGAAGCAGGGAAATACCACCTCATGGGGACACCAAGGTGCTGTGGTGAGGGGGGCAAGGAGTCAGCCAGGTGCAAAGACATCAAGGAGGAGAGAGAGGGAAGAGATGGCAGATAAAACAAATGGACACAACTGACAAATGTTTAAGAGCGACACTGTTGCTCCTGGCGCCCATTTGTTTCATCTTGTCTGCTGGTAGGGGAACTTCTAAGAACAGGTACTAGTGTGAGCTTAGAGGAGGCACAGCTACTGGGGGCTTATGGGACAGAGTTGGGAAGGCACAAGATGAGCCATCTCTCCAGATCATGCGGTCCCGTCCCTGAGGCTCTACCACCAACCTCCCCCCACCCCCAGAAGACAGGCAGGCTGCGACATTATTGTTCTGTGTCAAGCTAAGTGTTTAATCTAAACGGATGGCATCCACTGTGAATGGAATTAGAATTAAGACGGAATTGAATTAAAAAGCCACAGTTCCGAGTATGAACAGCAAACAGCATTTGAAAATAGGATCATTAACTTTTGTCATGTTTATTGCTTGACTTTCGAGGCTGGGCCGAGCATTTCTAGGTTTCTGGACAAGCCTTGTCTCTGAGGGCACAGGGAATTTGGGGCAGCTCCTGGGTGTAAGAGGCACTTGGAAGCTCTGGGCTGGCAGCAGGGAAGGCTGAGCAAATCACAGTATGGTGGGTAGGTCTGGGTGGTATCAGGGTACCACTCTGTCCCCTTTCTCTGAGCCCTCCAACACATGTGCCCTGAAGAGGGTCCCATGAGATGAGGTGACAACAAGGAAATATGTGTTTTCATGCTTTCTTTTAGGGACGAGGACATGTCAATCAAAAGTGGCCACAGTGTGGCCACTTGGAAGGCAGGAGGATTAATTTCGAGTAGCCCAATCCATTTTGGGAGAAGTGACTGAAGAATGGCCATTGGCCAAGTAACAGCTGATACACTGTGGACTCTCAGCCCGCTGGCCAGCTTAGCATCCTATTTAACATGGTCAGGAAGAGAGCAGGAGAGACAGGGATGCCGCACAAAGAGAAGGGGAGGGACAAGAAGAACAGGGAGAGGAAGGAGCTTGAGATGGCAGCAGAGAGGGAGAGACAGGGTGGGAGGGAGAAAGCAGAGGTGTCCAGCCCCGGTGTTCCCAGGGTTTACAGAGCACAGGAACAAAGCCTATTATAAGTGGGGATAAATATTCGGTTACAGAAGTGAGCGCCTGCCTCACCTAGGCTTGGAGCAAGAACGAGTTCTGCAGGTGAGGAAAGGTGCCTGCCTCAGGGTCCAGGAGAAGAGCCAGCAGTACAGGGGTGGGAACCTGGCTAAGCCTGCTTTCAGAGTCTAAGGGCCCCCAGCAACCTGGCTTCATGGGGCAGCAAACAAGGGTTGTCTGCCAAAGCTCTGGCAAAGAGCCCACCCTTACAGAGGCTCAGCGTCATGAAGGCTGGCAGGAGGACCAGGCTCTCTGTAGCAGACACAGCCTTTCAGAGGAGGCAGACCATGACAGCTCAGACTTGGGGTGGGGGTGGGGGGCTTCCTTCATTGGGGGATCACTTTGGGGAAGTTCCTTCCAGTAAATTTTCCATGAGGCCACTAAGATCAGCTCGGAGCAGAAAGAACTATGATGTCTTTCCAACTCTGCCCAAGTCCCACCTGCCACATGTCCCTCCATGCCTGACTTTGAAGAGACTGGTGAAAACTTAATAGCTCCTCCTGTGGGAGTAGACTCCAGAAAACAAAACAAAAAAAGAATCAACCTTTAAGAGGAATCACAAAGCCAGGCATTGGTGGTGCACACCTTTAATCTCAGCACTCAGGAAGCAGAGGCGGATCTCTGTGAGTTCGAGACCAGCCTGGTCTACAAGAGTTAGTTCCAGGACAGCCTCCAAAGCCTCAGAGGAACCCTGTCTCAAAAACAAACAAACAAAAAACAAACAAACAAAGAAGGAGGAGGAGAAGAAGAAAGCAAAAGAGGAATCACAGTCTCAGGAAATGTGTGTCTTCCCAGAAGGAATAGGCAGCTCTTCAGCATGGGGAAAGGCGGTCAGCCAGAACCCCAGGGATGTGCCAAGGCAGCCTCAGAGCCTGTCTTCCGACTCTAATACTAGAAAGCTGGGTGAAGTTCCCAGGTGTGATCATGTCAGATTCTAGAACCTGCTGGCCAAGAGTCTTACACTGTAATTGGTGGACAGAGCTGAAAGTCTCTCCTGACAAGGGGGAAGTTGTTTTAAGTCTAAAGTAGGTCTGTCCTTCAAATTAATCTCCTAAGGCAGCCCTATGCAGAGAATGGAACATCAGGGTTCTGAGATTTTCATATCTCAGCTTCCTTTCCTTATTTTCCCCCCCCCCCCAGAAGCCAATGGATGTTTTTCAAAGATTTTGGGAGGGAGCTGTGACCAGGCCCCCAAGGTTGGCTGCAGGTATAATCTCAACTATTTTCCTTCAAGCCACTGCAATCCGTGTGTGTGTGTGTGTGTGTGTGTGTGTGTGTGTGTGTGTATGTGCGCAAGAGCATGTGTGCATATATGTGTAATGCGGTACCAGGTAGCTGGCATTTACAAATCAGAGCTTTGGAAGGAAAACATTATATATAGTGCATCATAGAATTATCAGGCATGGTAAGTTTCTGTGACAGCTAAATTCATTTTCAGAGCATCAGGCATAACACTTTTTTGTTTGTTTGTTTTTGATTTTGTTCGAGACAGGTTTGTTTTGGAGTCTGTCCTGGAACTAGCTCTGTAGACCAGGCTGGCCTTGAACTCACAAAGATTCACCTGCCTCTGCTTCCTGAGTGCTGGGATTAAAGGCATGCACCACCAATGCCCAGCATGTATAACGCTTTAAAAACAAAAACCCCCAATATTGTCTTATTTGAATCTTAGCTCTAAGAGGTGGGTTGCCAACAATGACCCATCTTGTAAAGAAAGCTGTATGAGTGAGGTGCTTTTGGGTCCCTAAGGCTCCTGACAGACAGGCAGAGCTGCAATGCTTTATACTTGTGCTTAGAGGGCTGGGACATGGAGCTGAGCAGACAGAAAGCCCTGGGTTTGGTCCCCAGGGATACATATAACTGTAATCCCAGCGCTTGTGAGGCAGAAGCAGGAGGATCAGAAATTCAAGGTCATTCTTGGGGACACAGTAAGTTCATGGCTGTCCTAAGGTATGTGATACCCTGTCTCAAAATCCAACATCGCTGTGAGTGAGTTCAAGGCCAGCCTGTCCAGGACAGGCTCCAAAACAATACAGAGAAACCCTGTCTCGAAAAACAAAAACAAAAACAAAAACAAACAAACAAAAAAAAAAGATAGAAAGAAAGAAAAGAAAGGAAAGAAAGAAAAGAAAATGTCAGTTCATGGCCTTAATCTCAGTACTCTGGAGGCGAATCTCTGAGTTCAAGGCCAACTTGGTCTACAGAGACCCTGTCCAAGGAAAAAAATGGTTTAAGGGCCTGGGGTTGCAGCTTTGTTCTAGGGAGCTGCCTATCATGCTTAAGGCACTGGATTTGATCCCTTAACAGCATGCACATGTACACAGGGAGGCTTTAAAAATAAATTAATTCCACTTAGAAAATGAATTCTAGTACTTTACATTTGAGTGTGTGTATACATGTATATATATTTGGGGGTGTGTGTAACTTAGACCCTCTCCCTAGCTTGAGCTCTACCAGCCCCTCCCTTTTACAGACAGACAGACAGACAGACACACACACACACACACACATACACACATTTTTCTTAACTGGACCTTTAACTTGAAATCCCTCCCCCTACTCTTCTCCTAATCACACCACCACACCTGGCCTGTATGTTCATTTTTTGTTTCTTCTTGTTTTTGATGTTGTCCTATCTTACAGATGAGGGCTGAAGTAGACTCAGTGGCTTGCTCAGAGTTTCCAGGTGAGTCAGAATTCACAGCCAGGACCCTGGCTTCAGAGAGAGAGAGAGAGAGAGAGAGAGAGAGAGAGAGAGAGAGAGAGAGAGAGAGAGAGAGAGAGTTTTCTCAGTGTTCTGGGAGAATCTCACTCAGATGAATGAGCTGATGATGGATATTCACACCCAGGTGGACCACAGCTATCACAGAGGATTATTTTCTTGTGAACTGGGAGATGCTCTCATGCTTTTCTACCAGTGTGACTGTCCTCGGTTTCCTCTAATACAGATAGAGGAAGTAACCCTACAGCTTAGAGAAGTCCTGAAGGTTGAGTGGGTTGAGTGGGATCCTGCAGGGAGGGAGCCACAGGGCTGAGGAGTCTCCCAGGGCTTATATCACTAGCCAGAGGAGACCAATGGAGGCCTGGCAGGCTGACACTCCACTTCTGAGATAAGTTTTGATTAGGTGTCCTTCACAAGGTACCCAAGACTCTTCTCTGTTCCTCCCTTGGCCCACGCAGCAGAAATCCTCCTGGTTCTGCTCTCTTTGGGATGGTTTCTCAAGAACTGGATCCCCAAACTGCCTTGGGTGTTCCTATTCAAAACTCAGCTTACCCACCCATGTCTAAACCCTACCCATGTAGAGGGCTTGGCCAGAAAGGGCTGCCCCAGGCAGAGGAGAGGAGAAAGTTGGGGCAACAGCCCTCCTCTCCTGCAAGGCACTGTCAAGCAAGGAGATGTAAGTCTCTGTGAATTTCCCACGGGGCAGCACTAGAAGGAAGGAACTAGGCTTCCTGAGTAGGCTCGAAAAAAGGCGGGGGGGGGGGCAGGTGGAGGGGGATGAGGGGACAGGCCATTCCTTCCCCCCAGTTAATACAGGTAGTCAGGGAGGACAGAGAGTAATAGAAGCAGTGTTTCACAGGCAGGGTCCAGGTCACATACAGGGCTCCAGGGGGGCCGGGCGCCATGCAGAAGCCAAGACAGCATTAGACTGTCAGGGCTGGGTGCTAGGTCCGGGTAACCCCGGGCAAGTTCCTCATCACCACCATCATCATCCCAGCTGTGAAGAAAAGTTCAGGGCAGGAGAATACTTCTGCATCTGAGTTGTAGCCTGGAAGATCTCGGGAAGGATGGAACTGTAGGTGGGCATGGATCCAGAGCTTCGGGGTGCACAACCCACCTCCTTCCTCTCTGAGGCTAAGTGGGGGTGGGGCACCGCTGAACTAGCAAAGGTCAGAGTCCCTACCTGCAAGCCATTGGGGTACACATCGCCCTCGGAGAGTGAGTCCACCAGGTCCTCTTCGTCCAGCGTGGCCCGCTTGTAGGATGACATCTGCAATGCCAAGTGCAGAACGGACTCCCTCAGAGTCTCCATAGCCAAATGGGGAAGCGGCCCCCCGGCGTCCCGCCTCGCCCCGGCCACCCGAGAAGAGCCCACGGATTCAGGGCCCTCCCCGCGCGCCACACCCGCCTCACCCCCAGAGCGGACAGTGCGGCGGCCACTGGTGGCCACACGCTCCGCATGCTGTGCCCCACGACGCCCAGTCCCTCTCGGATCCCCTGGTGTCTCCCCACGCTGGCTGCCGGGGGCGGGACCTGCTGGAAAGTGGGTGTGGCTTGTTGGCACAAGTCCCTCCCTGGCCTTCCGCGAGAGTTGGGATATGGACCTCTTTCTTCCCCAGCGCAGCCCCAGCCCTTAAGTAGCAGGACAGGGTCTCACGGAGGCTTCATTCATAATGGGGTCCCCAAACGGCAGAGATCAAGAGGCAAGGTCAGCAAAGCCTAGCTGGGTCACGACAGATTCCTTCACCATCAGCCCTGAGATGAGACAAGGCTTGCAGGGTGGGGGTGGGGTGGAGGTGGAGTCAGGGATCCCCCAACATCTCAGTTCCCTTCCCCTCTAATTCGGGAGTTTTAAAGCCAGAGTTTCTGAATGAAGGTCACACAAGTCTAAGAAAGTTCCCTGACACGATGAAACCCACCGAGTGAATTTGGAGGTTTCAGCTTTCCAAATCTTTCTTTCTTTCTTTCTTTCCTTCTTTCTTTTCCTTCCTCCTTCCCTTCCCTTCTTTCTTTGACTTTTAAAAAATGTGTTTGAGTGTTTTGGCTGTTTGAATGTATGTGTACCACACGTGTGCCAGTCGAAGTCAGAATAGAGGACTGGATGCTCTGCAACTGGAGTTATGGATGATTGTGAGCCGCCATGTGGGTGCTGGGAATCCAACCCTAGTCCGCTGGAAGAGCTGCCAGGGCTCTTAACAACTAGGCCGTCCCTCCAAAGCACCCTTTCTGTCCCCTGCCAACTTGATTTTCACTGCTGGGCATATACGCAAGCGAGCCAGTCTGGAGGGGTGAGTCGGGGCTGCCCAAGGCAGTGAGGAGGGTGGCTCCTGGGGGTTTCCAGGCTCTATGGGCCAGCAAGCAGGTGCTTGCCCTCCTCAAATCCAACCACCTGAGCTCATCCCCAGGACCTCCCCTCTGACAGCCCACTCAACTGCTAGAGTCAGCCAGCCATTATAAATGAAATTCTCGTCACACCACACTTGCTTCAAAGTCCTCTGTGTTCCCTAAACTTTGCCAGGCTCAGGGTTGCCGGTCCCTGACCCTCCCGCTTCAGCTACCACACAAAAAGGCCCCAGATCTCTCCCCTGGCTTTTGTTCAGATCTGTGGATACCTAGGTTGCTCCTTCTCAGCCAAGTGCTTTGTAGCTGCTGCTCCCTCCCTCGACCTGGAACATTCTTTTCTGGTTTTTGTTCCTCCCACAGCCAGCTCCAGTCTCAGATTAAATGCCACCTGCTCAGATGTTCAAAACACCCTAGGTAGCTCTCCACATCCTCTTACAACTGCCTCCTCCTTCTCTTGTAGCAGTTACTGTGGTCTGTTATGTCTGTTTTGTTTTGGGAGACAGGGTGTTATGTAGCTTGGGTGAGCCTGGAACTCACGATCCTCCTGCCTCCACCTTCCAAGTACTGGGATCGAAGGTGGGCACCTCCACACACACCCACCAGCACTCGGTTAACATTCTGCTGATGATCTTAAGTGTTTATTATCTGGTGCTCGTTCCCCTTCTCCTCCCCGGAACCGTGAGCTTTGCCTACAGCAGCTGGGCTCTTGTGGGAGACTCCCCATCACCAGGCATGGAGTGGGTGGCCCAACAACCACTCTTGAGCTGAATGGTGGAGCAAGCAGTGGAGCAAGTTCTCCCAAAAGCCTCAGTGTCTAATGTACTGCCCAAGAGAACACAGAAACATATCCAAGGGACACAGGTCCTGGGGAAAGCAGGGTGTGTGTGTGTGTGTGTGTGTGTGTGTGTGTGTGTGTGTGTACATATCTCTTTCTAAAGATTCATTGATTTGGGGGCTTCAGAGATGACCCAGTGGTTAATTAAGAGCACTTGCTGCTCTCCCAGAGAGAGGATCTAGGTTTGGTTCCCAGGACCCAAATGGCAGTCACAACCATCTAATCCAGTTCCAGAGGACCAGATGCCCTCTTCTGGACTCAACAGACACTGCACGCATGTGGTGTGCTTACATATGTACTTGTATGTAAGTGAAATGTTAAAAAAAAAAAAAAAAAAAAACAAAAAAAAACTCTGCAACATAAAATAAAAATTTTGAAAAGGTTTGTTGGTGGGCATAGTGGCAAACACTGTTAGCCCCAGTACTCAGAAGGCAGAGGCAGGTGGATCTTGGAGTTCAAGGCCAGTCTGGTCTAAAAAGAGAGTTCCAAGACAGCCAGGGCTACACAGTGAGTCTGTCTCGAAAGATTTGCTTACTCTTATTTCTTGCATATTAAGTGCTTTGCTTGCATGCATGTATGCATACCATATGTGTAACTGGTGCCCATGGAAGCCAGAAGAGGGCACTGGGCCTCTGGAACGGGAATTACATGTGGGTGCTGGAAACAAAACTTGGGTCCTCTGCAAGAACAGCCAGTGCTCTTAACCACTGAGCCATCTCTGCAGCCCCACCTCCAGGGGGTGAGAGGGTGGGGATAATCCAAATCCTTGAAACTTCCGCCTTTCTCACTGGGTGGAGGAGTTCCTGTTACCTCACTCTGGGAGAGAAGGACACCTAAGGGTTTTCAAAAACTAGAGATCTGGCTGCATTAAGTGACAGGTGCTAATCCCAGGATGAAAGGGTCCTGGAAAAAGAGCTTTAATCCCCTCCTCCTCCAGCACATCCCCTGAGACCTAGGAGGGCCAGAGCAGGAATGGTCCCTGCTTCCTACCCTTTCGGCCTGGTATCCTTTCCCTTTGGTGGGTTTTGTTGGCGCCTTTGATGCAGAATGAAACTAAAGCTAAGGGAAGTAGCTTGAAAGCAGGTGAAGCAATGGGCCCTCTTACTTCCAGTTCATTTCAAAGACCTCCTGTTCTGGGAAACCTCCTGACCACTGACATCATCTGCCCCTCTGAGGTGTCCTCCCAGCACCCACCTTACAGCAGGGGTAAAGACAGAGCTTGGCCTGTTCCTTCAAGATCTGGATCTGGGGCTACAGCCCCTAGATTTTTTTTTTTTTTTCAAGACAGGGTTTCTCCATGTAGTCCTGGCTGTCCTGGAACTCACTCTGTAGACCGGGCTGGCCTCCAACTCACAGAGATCCACCTGCCTCTGCCTCCTGAGTGCTGGGATTAAAGGTGTGCCATCACCACCATCCAGCTGCCTATAGATGTTTGAGCAAAGGTGCTTATGGGTGGGTGGACAATCGTGTCCAATCCGTCCCAATGCAGCTGTCAGTGACTAGATGACATAGGTGGCTCTTACACCTTTCAAGAGAAGTAAGCATTGTAAGGAGCTGTTGGTTTCCCAGCCCACAAAAGCCCCACCCCATTCCTGCAATGCCAGTTGGAGCCAGCTGGGGCCTGAAGTGAAACTGCACCTACCTCAGATGGGTTGAGCATCTCACCCATCTCTCCTCAGTGGGGGGCATGTTATAGCTTAGTGGATAACATCCACTCAGGGCTGTCCTATCTCTGGACCTGCCAGGGACTCCGCAGATGAAAGGTCCCCACGGTACCTGGGCTAGTCTAGCAGGGGTGTCTTCCATTTATAAGCAGAGGAAGGGGAGGTGGTGATGGGACCCTACACCTACAGGGTGTCACTTAAGATGTCTTTTTATTTGTTTGTTTTGTTTTTCAAGACAGGGTTTCTCTGTATTGCTTTGGAGACTGTCCTGGGACTCACTCTGTAGACCAGGCTGGCCTTGAACTCACAGAGATCTGCCTGCCACTGCCTCCTGAGTGCTGGGATTGAAGGTGTACGCCACCAATGGCCGTCAAGATGTCTTAAGTGTCCCTTTTGTCTCAGCACTTCACCCCTCTCAGGCAACATCCTTATCTCTACTTAACAAATAAATGAGTGAAGGTCAGGGGGGACTCACCCCTCCAGTGCCCTGGCTGGGCCACATACAGCAAGTCAGTCAGTACCAGAGTCAGGTCACGGGCCTGGGCCCTGTGGAAGGCAGGACTACTTCCGGTGGGGACCTCATGGCGTCTGGATGCCCTGGGAAGACTAGGCCCTGGGCTGGCAGAACAGCCAGGGCTTGTTGCAATGGCCTCACTTGTGGGTTATATGGACACCACATCCTGCTGTGGGCTTCTGGAAAGTTGAACTGCTGCTCTGTAGGGGACCCCACCCCCCACCAGAGAAATCTGGGCTGCATCTGGGCCTGTAGGACACAAGAACTGTTTGGCTGAGATCAAGGATGGTAAAGTGGCAGCTCCTTGTGGAATGTGGGGCCCAGGTCCCTGATGCCCAGCTGTACAGGGAAAGTGACCAGATCTAGAAACCTGCCCTGCATCGGCCATCATGGATTTGGGATGAGCACAAATGCAAGGATGCTTACATGTTTCTGAAGACAAAGGTTTGCGGCCTTGTGGTACCCAGGAACCCCATGGACCCCAACAGCTTTAGTCATACGGATTTTGTGGTTGGTTTGCTCAAGGCAGGGAACTTCAGGGAATCTTGGAGTGTGTCAGAAGTGACAAAGAGAGTGGAGATTTGTGCCTGGGCTGGGAGGCCACACCCTCTCCACTGCTTAGGGGGCCACCCTAGTGGCCAAGCGCCCATCAGTTGTTTCGGCCAGCAACAGGCTGGGATCTGGGAGAAGCTAAGCATCACCTGGTACATACCCACTCAACAGGCATGAAGATGAAGACAGTGAAAGCTCCCACATGAAACCTCAGTCTGCTAACCCATTCTGCCACTCCCCGGTGGTGGCAGATAAATGTTGAGATCAGTGCCAAGTCCACAGAAAGTATTATTCCTATCATTATCACACAGTATATAGTGTGCCTGCAGGCCAGGAGACAACCTCCAGTGGTGGCCCGCAGGCACTGGCCATCTTTTTTTTTTTTTTCATTGAGGCAGGGTCTGTCATTTGGTTATAACTCACTGGGTAGGTTAGACTGGCTGGGCAGAAAGCCCCATGGATTCTTCTGTTTCTATCTTCCCAGCTCTTGAGATTCCAAGTCCCTGTCTGCACACTTGGCCTTTTTTTTTTTTTAATATATAATTCATTGATGTTTTGCTTATGAGTATGTCTGTGTGAGGGTGTCAGATCTCCTGGAACTTAAAGATCTCCT